AAGTACTTTAACAGGCACTTTTTATGTAAAAGCTCAATTAACACTCCCGAGAACTCTTGAAGACAGTATCTCTCATTTTCCAGAAGATAAAACAGACTCAGGAAGGTTAAGCAAAATGAGCATACAGCTAGGATTTAACAGAGTGAGAATTTTTTATTTCAAAGTCCATCTCTCTCTGTTGACTAGGACTTCACTGAAAGTTTTAAATAAAGTATAAATTATAAGATTACAGGGGAATGGGGTTTGTGATACCCCCAAAGAGGCAGAGGAAAAAGTATAATAAAGTTCTATCCCTTACAGCAAAATACACGCCACCAGGAACCAGGCAGTCAATAGAACTCTAAGAGTTGTCAACTCTCTCTCTCTCTCTCTCTATCTCTTTTTTTTTTTTTTCACGGTACTAGGGCTTGAACTCAGGGCTTATACCTTGAGCCACTCCACCAGCCCTTTTTTGTGATGGGTTTTTTTGAGATAGGGTCTCATAGACTATTTGCCCCAGCTGGCTTTGAACCGATCCTCCTGATCTCTGCCTCCTGAGTGGCTAGGATTATAGGCACCCAGCAGAACTGTCAACTCTTGATCAACATTCTACTCTACTCTTCTACTCTCATATTAAAAGAGTGCAAGTCCATTCTGCAGGTGTTCTGGTGCTTTCACATCTAGAAAGCCCTTCTAAAGTGAGTTACAAGAAGACTCAGGCAGAATTCCCCTGAAGCATTCATTTCCTTTGTAAGAGAACTGACATTTGCTGGCACAGTGCTGCCACCATGTGGAACAGTCTCTGAAAAGTGGAATAAAAGTGACACTAAGGGCAGTAGAAAAGGACTTCTCATTAGATTAAGAGAATTGAGGTAATTTCATAACAAAACAGTATCCAGATAATTAAAGACATTTGTGAATTCAAAATTATAACTATTTTGAATAGTTATGTTCAAAATAGTGTGTGGGGTATGTGTATGTATACAATTAAATCCTACTACATACGTATATTGATGAAGGTGGTGACAAGTAATGGGTTTGGGAACTCAGAACTAGCTTAGCATCCTGACTACATTTACTACTAGCTGCATGAGTTTGGGATAGTTTAGTCTCTCTGAGCTACCAAATCTGACATTCTACCACTAGACCTTGGGCATTACTTAACACTCATGTACTGAATCTATCTCTACAGGCAGCATTTGACCCCGCTGATAAAAGAAAATCAGTGTGACAACTTTAACCCTTTATTTAAGGTTACTTTTTGTAAGAATTTTTTTTTTATAATTGCAACACTTTTTTAAGGTTTAAAATAGGGGAATACAGTTGACAATTAAAAAAAGTATAAAGTCAAAAAGAGTGAAGTGGCTCACACCTATAATCCCAGCTACCAGAGTGGCAGACATCAGGAGGAACAAAGTTGAAGGCAGCCCAGGCACAAGGCATGGTGTGTACATAGGTGGGAGCACTGCAGTCTGAGGCCAGTGTTAGGCAAAAATGTGAGACTCTACCAGAAAAATAACTAAAAAGCAAAATAGGGCTGGGGACATGGCTCAAGAGGTAGAGCACCTGCCTAGAAAGTGCAAAGCCCTGAGTTCAAATCCCAGTACCTCCAAAAGACAGAAAGATAGACAGATAGACAGAAAGACAGAGAGATTCAAGATAAAAAATAGGCATATATTTGTTGGCTACTTTAAGTCCAAGCTTTTCAGTTCCTCACTAAAACAAGAATAAAGAACTTGAAAAATGATTTGAATATGGGTTTGTATAAGGAGGCCAGGACAAGAGTAAGGCAAGTAAAGCACTTCTGGCACAGAAGTTAAGGAGCACCCTGCTCTCAGGCTTGTGCAGGTCCACAGCCAGACCTGACTAAACCGAACTCTGGGTACCTTTCTAGCAGTAAGTTGAACAAAATCAAGAAAAAAGTTTATTGCTACTGAGAAGTCTCACAAGAATGTACAGAGATTTTCTATTTAGTAGACAGTGGGTTCAACAATTTGATATCTAATGCTGACATCCTTCTCTAGGAAAATCTGCAATAAAGACACAATAAGACAAGCTGGGGATAAAGTTCAGTGGGAGACTGCTTGCCTAACCCTAGGTTTGGTTTCTAGCATTGCAAAAGGTAGTAATCTTCCTGAATCACCTCTTGGTTTGTTCTTGTAAAAACAGGTTAAGAATTATCAAGGCAGGGCACAGTGGCTCATGCCTTGGTTCAAGGGCAGCCAGGAAAAAAGTTTGAGAGACCCAATCTCAACCCGTAGCTGGGTGTGGTGGGACATGCCTGTCATCCCAGCTACTCAGAATGTATAATTAGGAGGATTGTGGTGCTGATCAGCCCAGGCATAAACTCAAGACCCTTTTCGAAAAATAACTAAGGCAAAAAGGGCTGAGTGGTGTGGCTCAAGTGATAAAGCACCTGCCTAGCAAGTTCAAGGTCCTGAGTTCAAACTCCAAGAGCACACACACAAAAAAGTTATCAGGAACATTATACAGTTTACTAGAACATTATAATATATTCACAGCCACTCATAGGTTACCTGTTTAAATTATAGATAGCTAGGGAATGGGGAGAAAAATAAAACAAGATTGGCATGTATTAATAGTTACTGAATCTGGTTATAATAAATGAGTTCATTTATTATGTTCATCTATTCTTTCTAATTTTGAGTATGTTTGCAGACTCTCATAATAAACATAAGTAAATAAACAGCATACATGTCATTTGAGTACTATGGACTGGATGAAAACCAGCCCTCTTCTCTACAATGGAAACTTAGATTAAATCAGACAAACCTGGCTTGTTTCAGAAACTTGGCATTCTCAAGTGATCTGATAAGGATCTCTAAGTGCTACTTGGGCTTTAAAAATATAATGCCTTACTGCTAAGTCCTCAGTCCTTATAAAATTCATAGGTTCTACATGGAAGAATTTACATTGGTGAAATGCCTTTTACACCTCAAACTGGAATTGCCTACAGAGTTAGAATTTATTTTTACCTAAATTCATTCTTAGCACCACTGAATATTTAGTAAGTTTCAGAGAGTACATGATATTCTGCTTATCTGGTTGGTGCTTGGAACCCAGATGCCTTATTTCCTCATCTATCCTCAAATAGAGAATTTCAAAAATAGATGCTTGGAGTGACAGAGTGAATCACAAGCAATGACAAAAACACAAGTGGATACCAGCTAACATTCCATAAACACATAGTATCACCTTATTTTTTTTTTTTTAGGTACTGGAGCTTGCACTCAGGGCCTACACCTTGAGCTACTCCATCAGCCCTTATTTGTGATGGGTTTTTCTGAGATATGGTCTCTCAAACAATTTGCCCAGGCTGGCACCGAACCTCAATCTTTCTGATCTCTACCTCCTGAGTAGCTAGGATTACAGGTGTGAGCCACCTGTGCCTGGCTTAAACTTTTTATGGAATCTTTCTTTAAAAAGGTGCCACATGGTACTGCTTGGGACGGGTGTGGGGGAGACAAAAGGCGGGGATAACCTAGTACGGTGGTGATGCCTTATTAGAAATTAGGGTTTAAGCACTTCCATATGCACTCCTAAGCCTAGAAGGTGGCTGAAAAGATTCCTGATGACAACTGGTAGAGTAACTACCTTTAAAAATGTAGCTTGCTTCATTCATTGACCTTATTATTAATTTGGAAGGATAACAAACAGAAGCAAACGCTACTGTTTTGACTAAAGTGAACAAAATGAAATGTCAAAGCAAAGATCTGAGCAGGTGATTTGTGAGTCATGAGACCTATTTTAGGCAAATTCCGACTCTCTTGCCATATAAAAAAAAGTTCAACAAGAAAAATATTTAGAAGGACTGGTAGCATGGCTCAAGTGGTAAAGCACCTGCCTCAAAAACCTGAGTTCAAACCCCAGTACTGCCAAAAAAAAAAAAAAAAAAAAAAATATAGGCTACACACTATCTCTTCAAGTAAATATTGTACTAGACAAAAAGGGGAGCACTTTAAAGAAACATTGCACTAGACAAAAAGGGGAGCACTATATTCCTGCATTTAATCCGGATTATATTAGTGACTAATCACCCAATTAAAATGTGCTTCAGATACTAGCAGAGTATCTACTACTTGAGACTTGATCCCTTTCATTATAAAAGCTACTGGAGAAGTAGCTTAAATGAGTAGAGCACCTGTGAGTGTGAAGCCCTAGTTCAAATCCCAGTCCCACCAAAAAAAAAAAAAAAAGGTCTTTCTATCTGGGGAGACTGAAATCAAGAGGATTACCATTTGAGGCCAGCCCAGGCAAAACAGACTGGAGGGGTGGCTCAAGTGATAGAATGCCTACTTTACAAGTACAAAGCCCTGAGTTCAAATACTAGCCCCACCAAAAATAAATAAATGAAATGCCAAGAAGGAAATGAAAAAAAAAACCCTCAACTTTAAGGTATTATGTTCTGGCTGCTAGAACATAATCGAGTTGGCTAAAAACAATCTTGCCCTAGAATTCCCCTTTTAAAGAGTATATTACTCTATAAAAGATCTTTAAAAGATCACTTAATCTGATTCAGTTCTAGTCTCACACCATCAAATAATACCACGAATGTCTACCTAAAGAAATAATCTTAAAAAAAACAAACATCTAGAGTGTGAGACACACAATCTGCAAGATAAACACAACTCATGTTTCCCGCAGCTACTCTGTGTTCCAACATCCCAAAGGCAACATTTGTGTTAAACATGCCTTGAAAAGGCAATTTAAATACTACTCTTTGTTTGAGGTGGTCTCACTATGTAGCTCAGGCTGGTCTGCAGCTCCCTTATGTAGTCCAATGCGGCCTTGACCTCTCCATCCTCCCTACCTCAGCATCCCAAGTGCTGGAATTATAGGTATACATCACCACACCCAGCTCAAAAACTCTGTCTTTTTCATTTGTTTGGGCTTTTTTTCTTTTTTTTTGCACTGCCTTGCACATGCTAGGCAAGTGCTCTACCATTGAACTATATTCCCAGCCCAATACCACTCTCTTTATAAAAGCAGGAATTTATTACCATTGGGTTTGAATCTGCTATGAGATCCCGTAGAGAATCCAGAAATCCCTGATCTTCCACCATTTGGGCATTGATATCATGGAGTTTTGCCACACAGACTGCTGCTGTTTTCCGAACATAGGGATCTTCATCCTTCAAGCACTTTCGGAGGGGCTCGCAGAGATATTCTGTAATCTTGTCCACTCGGATGCACCCCATGGTTCTGACTGCCAAGGCCCGAATCAAAGGATTGGGATCTTCACAGTCCTACAAAAAACAATCATCACTATAGGTGTATGAGGCAGTTCAACAGTCCACCTAGCATGTAAGAGGCCCTGGATTATACTCCCCAGATCCAAAAACTAATTTAACTAAATAAATAAATGGTAAGGAGTCCAGTTGACATAAGCTGCAAAAGAGTATTTCACTAATTTAAGTTTCCAATTACATTCTACATCAGAACCCAATCTCCCATGCTATTCCTGTTCTAAGGTGTCTATTCAAGAATTTTAACTGTTTTTTTAATCTCTCTCTCTCTTGCTTTTTTTTTTTCTGTAGTACTGAGGTCTGAACTCAGAGCTTTACACTTGCTAGGTAGGTGCTCTACTGCTTGAGCCACTCCCACTGCCCTTAACTGCTTTATATACATAATGAGGAAAGGCCCAGTAATATTAAATTGAGAGCCAGGCAGAAGCCTAGTGAGGTACTATGACCATTCCCATACTTACTAGTAGACCTGCCATAAAAACAGAAAAGGCCTGTATTTTTGCTTTAGGAAAGAAAATGAGTAATTGAAAAGACTGTGTTCCACTCCACAGAGAGTCTGTAAATACTAAGTAGACAGAAAGGAGGGCTAGAACTCTGGGCTTACAGCCAAGAAAACAAAGGTAAGCCTAGGAGTTGACTGGGGCCTGACATTAAGTACCTGCAGTTAAGCAGAACAGTGGGCCCTCTGAGCTCCTAACCACCAAACATTCTCCTTTATTGGCAAGTGCTTCCCAATACAGCACAAACAACATTGAGAAGGAATACTTTTTTTTTATTCATTTATTCATATGTACGTACATTGTTTGGGTTATTTCTCCCCCCATCCCCTGCCTCTACTCTCTCCTGAGAAGGAATACTCTTAAATTGTCTACATTTAAAAAAAACAAAAACAAAAACAAAACTTTCCTTAAGCCATATAACATTATATATAACTCTAACTTTCAAAAATGTAAACTAAAATCTTCCCAATAATATATTCCATTTATGAACCACCAGGGAAGGAGATTGAAATGTTATGTTCTGACTATGTATAATGTAGGAAAAAAAGTCTTTGAGAAGGAAGAAAGAATATTGGTTATTTTTCAAAGTGTAACTAGAAGTTAACTTGAGAAATGCTATCTGATTTTTCAGACTAAATTAGAGAAAAAAAATAAGCAAAAAAAGTATTAATGGAATACCCATGAGTATGCTCACCAAATCTGATGTTAAGAAAAATCTGAGCCAGATGCTGGTGGCTCACACCTGTAACACTAGCTACTCAGAAGGCAGAGATCAGGAGTGTCTTGGTTTGAAGCCAGCCCAGGCAAACAGTTTGTGAGACCCTATTTCAAAAAACTCACCACAAAAAAGGGCCGGTGGGCTGGCTCACAGTGTATACCTTAGATTCAAACCCCAGTACCACAAAAGAAAAAAAAAAAAAAAAAAAGAGAAAAATCTTGATATTCAATTACATGAAGGAAACTTTTTGTCAGTTTTTAAAGGTGTGGCATTAAGAAAAAAACAAAAACAAAGCAAAAACAGAAAAAAGTAAAGATGTGACAATGTATTGTTTGTTATGTTTTTGGTTTTATTTTGTTTTTTGGGAACTGAATTCAGGGTTCTATCATTTGAGCCATGCCCTAGCCCTTTTTGCTTTAGGTTTTTCTTCTTTTTTTTTTTGGGGGGGGGGGTTGTGGTTTACAGGGATTTGTAAAAAAAAAAAAGTAAACTTTAGTTTATTTTTGGTAAAGTCTTGCATTTTTGCCTGAGCCAGCTTCAGACATCAATCTTCCTATCTTCATGTCCTGAGTAGTTGGGATTACAGATGTGCCTTGTTAATCTTGTTATGTATTTTAAAGGAGATTTTATTTTGAGTGAGGCATGGTGGTGTACTGTAATCCCAACACTCAGGAAGCTGAAGTAAGAGGAACATGAGTTCCAGGCCTGCCTAGGCTACCCACTGGGCTAGTGATACCCCATCTTAAAAACCAACAACACACCAGGAGCAGTGGGTCACACCTGTAATCCTAGTTACTCAGGAGATGGAGATCAGGAGAAATGCAGTTTGAAGCCAACCCTGGGCAAATAGTTCAAGAGACCTTATCTTGGAAAAAAACCCATTATTAAAAAAGGTTGGTGGAGTGGCTCAAGGTGTAGGCTCTGAATTCAACAAACCCCAGCATTCTCCCCTCAAAAAAAAAAAAGTGTAACCAAATGTTTAAGACTGATTAAATCTTCTGCAGTTTCCACTACCTTTAAGTCATTAGCCTAATTTTTACAAAGATAAAGCTGCAGGTAACTAATACAACTTTAGAAGGCTAAACGGTGAGGTTTCACCTGGCTTTTTTTCTACCCAACTGGCAAGAATGCATACACTAAGCCTCAATAACAGAAAGCTCACCATATGGTTTGAACTTCCCGGATGACACAGGCTGGTTTATAGAATGCTTAAAACATGAATACTGCTACTCACTGCTACTCAAAACATGAATATTACTACTCGTTCCCTAGAGGCCTTCCTTTGAACAGAGGTTGCTTATTTGCAATGCAGACACTCACGATAAGTCACTTCTGGAAGGTTATTTGAGGTAGAGGAAGAAGTTACCTTCACAAAGCTGTTGACAGCCATGATGGCCATATCTGGCTGACTCTTGGCGTAGTTCATCAAATAGAGATACACGAGCTTCTTTAGTTCCAGATTGTCAGTCTGCATACAGTTCACTACATCTGGAAAAAGAGAGCTGAGAAGAGAAAGAGACAGAGTGAACGGGTGTTGGTGCCAAGTGTTAGACAGATAATGAAGAACTGGTCTTATACAATAATTTGATATAAGGATGACATCCCCACAGTGATAATTATGTTCATGGAAATGAATCACTAAAAAAAATGTACTGGTCTCCAGTCTAAAAATAGGTTTTGTTTTTAGGTGGTGCTGAGGCTCTACCTCAGGGCCTCATGCATGCTAGGCCAGTGCATTACCATTGAGATGCATTCCAGCCCTCTCAATAGTTTGGGGGGAAAATATTATGAAAAATTTAAAACAAACTAGAGCAGTATAGCCCAATGTACCCATCACCCATAAATACTGATAAACGCCCAATCTTTATATATATATATATATATATATATACACATATATATGGTTTGTTTTTTTTTTTTTTTTTTAACTTTTTATTTTTTTGGTGGTACTGGGGTTTGAAGTCAGGACTTTCTGCTTGCAAAGCAGGCACTCTTCCCCTTGATCCACACCTTAGGGACAGATATATGCCCAATCTTGTTTTATATATTATCCTCAACCCAGTGTTTTATGTATATCCTCATCTCCCCACCCTCTGCCAGCTGCTCTGAATTTTTTTATTTTGAGGCACTAGGGTTAGAAACCAGGGAGTCACTCATGCTAGGCAAGTACTCTACCACTGAGCTATCCCCCCCAGTCTCTGGATTATTTTAAAATAAATCCTAGATATCATATCATGTATAATATCTTACTGTACATCATTAGGAATCTTTTAGAAAAATCATTACCTTTATCACACAAAAAAATAACAGTAATTCTTCCTAGCAATCCACTGTGGTTTCTAACTATTACAGCAGTTATAATTTTTTATGATCACATTCGTCCATCTTTGACTAGTGGCAACTTTATTCAGGTAGCTCCTGAGTTCTTGGGATGTGACCCCGAATTTTCAATAGTTTCCCTGCTTTCTCTATGACATCACGCTTCATCCAGTCTCAATGTTTAAATTTCTAATTGCAATCTGGAATTAGTCATCTCTAACACATCCTGATTCTCTTTCAGGGGAATTTAAGGACCTTTTTTAATAGTACACATTCACATGTTAAAATTTGAGTGTAATCAAATACAAATGTACTCTGTGCCTTTCCCAAGTTCTATTCATTTCATGATTTACCATATTCTCCTATAAGCCACAGGAAAGAAATTTGTTTTCATTACAAAGTAGCACCATTAGCTTGGAGGTTTGAGATGGTCAGATTTTAAAGTGTAGGTTGTATTTTAAAAATATAGGTTAAGTATAATTTTATGGGACGTTAGTAATTAACCTTCCTCCTAACACTTTATTAAAATTCTTTATAAATTTCTTACAAGTATAAGAACAAATGTCAGTGTATTTTTACAGACAAGTAAAGAATGACTGAAATAACTAGTCTCATGATATAGCTCCCATACATACACAAAAGCAGGAAACAGAAATAGAAATTATTTACTAAAAGGAAGATGGATGAACTGAAAATTCAAAAACAATCCATCCCTGGGTAAAGGAGGGCAAATATGGTGGATGTATTTTGTATTTGTATATAAAAACAGAACAATGAAACTTGTTGAAATTGTTCTAAGGGGAGAAGGGGAGAAGGGGATGAGGGAGAAAGATGGTGGGGGTGACTCACATCTCCAATGAGTCACTGACTTCTGTTCTGGAAGGTAACAAACCATTCATTTAACTTGTTTGTATGGTACCTAGTATAGTTTCATGCACATGTAAATATTTAAACTCTCTCCTCTCCTAAATGAGTTTGCTTTCCATTTTCTAAGAGAATAGCTCAAATGCAGAATGGCTATAAAACCAGTAAATAAATGCAAAACACTAACCAATAGTAAATTGGTTAGATCCTAAATAATGCTAACAACCTACACAAGATCAAGAAGATTTAAGCTGTGTGGAGTGGCTAATGTGTGTAAGACCAGCACCTAGGAGGCTGAGGCAGGAGGATTAAGAATCCAAGGCCAAACCAGGTACAAGTGGCTCATGCCTGTAATCCTAGCTACTTGGGAGGCTGAGATCAGAAGGATGGTGGTTCGAGGCCAGCATGGGGAAGGGGGTATTTAAACCAGAGTAAAATGGCCTGTAGGTGTGGCTCAAGCAGTAGAGCACTTGCCTTTCAAGTGCAAAGCCCTGAGTTCAAACTCCAGTCCCATCAACAATAAAAATAAAAAAATAAAACCACATCAATAAAGTTTTGTAATTGGTCGCATTAATATTCAGTCAGTTAGGGATTAAACAGATCTTTCATCTGGGCATAATTTTGTGATACACTCAGTGGTCTTCTGAATAACACTGGTACATTGAGTTATATAGATCCTCAAATGTTGACACATTTCATTATATAACAGCAAATAACCACTTTCATTAATTCCACCACCAATCCACTAGAAAACGGTTTTAAGTATCAGGAAATCGTTAAGCTCAACAATGGGAGATACAAGTTTACAAAAACCTAATTTTTACCTTAAAGTTTGAAATTTATCTGTCAAATTTTTTCCCTTGAAATGACAGGTTCACTTTGTTGTTTTTTGATCAAATGTCCCCCAAATACCAAAATCTGATTAAATATAGTTTGTGCGTCAATCATACTTTCATATTTGCAATTCACACAATCACATAGGGCTTTTCTCAAGTTACAATGCAGCAGAAGAGCTTTATGCATAATTCCCATTTCACCATCACAGAATATTAAAAATAAAAGACCTACCTGAACTGAAGGTTCTTTTCTTTTCTTGTTTTTTTTGGTGGGGGGGAGCCAGTATTGGATTTGAGGTTACCAAGTAAACTTTCTCTCCTTAGTTATTTTTCTAATAGGGTCTCATACTTTTGCCTGGGGTTGGTTGATCTCAGACAGGGATCCTCCTACCCATGCTTCTTGCATAGCTGTGATTATAGTTGTGAACTACCACATCTGTCTTGTTTGTTGATGGGGTCTTGCTTTTTGCCAAGGCTGGTCTCAAACTGTGATGCTCCTTTTCTTTACCCCCTGAATAGCTAGGCTCAAGGTTCAAATTTTAATAAAATAAAATCTTTAGCCAGATGCCAATGGCTCATGCTTGTAATCCTAGCTACTAGGGAGGCAGAGATCAGGAGGATCATGGTTTGAAGCCAGACTGGGCAAAGAGTTCGTGAGATCCTATCTCAAAAAAAAAAATCACAAAAAAGGGCTGGTGGAGTGACTCAAGGTGTAGGCCCTCAATTCAAACCCCAATACCTCAAAAAAGAAAAAAAGTCTTTTAATATGTCATGAAAAACAATCCTGAGTGAAACTGCCCTTATTTTCTTGTAAGTACATGGTAGTGAAAAGTACTATGATGTGTCACCACTACTACCTTGATTCATACAAAGACACTGACAGTTTTACCCACCACTGCTCCCATCATCAGTGCAAATGGTGAAAAGGGCAAGTAACATCTAAGTATTATTATAAAAATAGCTTTGCTTAGGACTCCTCAGGGCCCTGCAAATAATCCTTCCAAATGATCTTACTTAATTATAGAAATGAACAAAAAATAAGATCAAATGAATTTTGGTAACATTGACATTCATTTTGAATTCAACTGAAGGTAGAGTTGTAAAGCTGAGGGCGCTGACTTGAACCATTTAAAGAGTATGTGAGCTTCTGCTTCTTAGTCTGTTTTCATAATCTTTTAAAACTACTTTAAAACTACTTCAGACGATAGATTTGTAACTGTGTCAGTTCTCAGAGGTTTTAAGCTAGGTCTGTATGCAACAAAATCAAACTCATTGTACTCTTTTAAAAAAGCAATCAAACACAAACTAAAGTCAGAGTGTTAAGATAAAAGCAACTACACTGTCTGATGATATTTTCAGTGGGACAAACTCATTTTTATAGATCCTACGTGGGGTTTTTCTTTTTGGTTGTTGTTGCTGGGTTTTTTTTTTGTTTGTTTTTTAAGACAAAACTGTGTTGGCCAGGTTGGCACCCAACTCTTGGGATCAAGTGATCCTCCTGCCCCAGCCTCCTGAGTAGTTGGGACTACAAGCATGTGCCACTGTGCCCAGCAGATCTATGATTTTAAAGGAAAAGTGGTAAAGTCATAAAATAGGGTATGGATCTCTAAAGTGACGAATGAAGTGATTACCCTTACCTAACATCCTTCCCCACGGTCATAGCAGCAATCACTTTCTTCACAGCCTCCTTCCTCTTTTCTTTCTTTTCATTATTGAGTTCAGCTTTTAATTCAAAGATTTCTCCTACAGGAGAGAGAACAAATGGATGAGGTTCCAGAATCAGAGAACTAGAGTAAAATATTGTGCTATGCAATAAAACCAGGAAAGCAAGGCAGCAACTGAAATAAGAGTATTAAAAATTACAGGATATGTAAAATTAAAAGTATTACAATAGTGACTGCTCATAAGGACACCACCAATAAAATTTTAAAGTCTTTTAAATTATGGCTTTAACTTAAGGTGCAGTGCAGATCTTTGGGGGCTGCAAGAGTGGGAAAAAGCAAGTACTCTAAGTACAATGGTGAGAGAATGCTATCTGAGGGATGATGACCCATCAGAATTTTAAGGCCCAAAGAACAAAATAAATGTAGACAGGAAGCAGGTTTAGAAATCAGTGTTTGCAAACCAGAAGAGATATCACACATCATCTCATTTACCCACTCCAGACTTTACAGGTAAAGAAATGAGGCTCAAAGGTCATAAAGTGACAGAGCTGGGCTTAGCACTCCATCTCCTGATTCTTGAATCCAGATGTTCTCAATCTTGGTCATATATTCACACTTACTGGTAAACACTGAAAAATAACAATGCTTAGGTTCCACTCTGGACCACATGAATCAGAATGTTAAGATCTCTTATATTCCTATGTTTAAGTCGCCCCAAGTGATTCTAATGCACAACTAGGGTTTAGAATCATTGCTCTAATTAGTACTTTAATAAGTTAACAGACTTTAAGGTCTCTTCCTCTTCAATCACTCTAAGAATAATTGTGAAGCTAAAAGAACAGTACAGACCAGAGTCATTTCTAAAGGGATGATCTTGAATGACTACTCAGGCAGTTTGTACTGTACTGTAAAATGCCAGAGACTTGTTACCACTATGGCCCTGTCTCCAGGCTCACCTATCTTCAGTATGATGGGACCAAAATTAAAACATTGATAACCCCCATCTGTTTTAAAAAGGAAAAAAAAGCCACATGCCACTTAGCCCATGAGAAAAAGTTGACTACTCTCATCTCAATCTTCCAACTATAGCCTTAAACTTGTCTCCAACTGTGCCTCATTTTCCTGCATCTTTAAGACTGTTCCCCATGTTCCTTTTACCCAGTCCTCATTCACCAGTATTCACTAGTGTGCACACAGACACTGAGCACTTAAAAATCTTGTTTTATCAATATCCATCCCCAAAAGACAAGGAAATTATTACAAAATTGCTATTTTGTTTAATTGATAGCTGCAAAAATAGCATAGCCAGAAAAGCTGGGTCCTTTAAAGTCATTCTCCTCTTTACCACATTCTATCCTGCCAACTCTGGCTCTGAGGGCTCTCTCTCATCAGTTACTTCTGGGAATAATAAAGGACAAACAGTAGGGTTTCAGAATGTCTGAATTGTGAATAGCAGCAGGAGTTACAGAACTGAAACAGGATGTAATTGAAATTATTCCAGTACCAGCATAAATTTATAGAATATGTTCAGTGGCAGTTCTGGTGGGTGTTAAAGGAAGCAAAAGGAACACAGTCTATTTAAAAAAAAAAACAAAAAACACATGGTATTTATCTAGCAGTGATCCAATCTGTTAAGTCCCAAACTTTTACACCTTAGTAAAAAAAAGATCACCAGGACCCCTTATAAAAGAAGGTTTGAAGAGTTAGGTTTTTGTTTTTTTAAACCCTTCATGTCATTATAGACAATACGGTGATCATCAAAGCACATAAAATGTTAACAAAAGAAAAGGAATTTAAAAAATAAATTTTAAAATGTACAATTTAAAATGTCAGGAAAAGCTGAAATGAATATAACAAAGGGTTATTAGCTGTGTGTGTGGTTTTTTTTTGAGACAGGATTTATTTATTTTTTTGGTGGGACTGGGGTTTGAACTCAGGGCTCTGTGCCTTTGTGCTTGCCAAGCAGGCATTCTACTGCTTGAGCCACACCTCCAATCCATTTTGCTCTGGATATTTCGGAGATGGAGTCTCATGAACTATTTACCTAAGTCATCGATCCACAGTGAGCCAGGGTCTTGCCATGTTACCCAGCAACTGGCTTTGTAGCCCAGACTGATCTTGAGCTCATGATTCTCCTGCCTTAGCCTCTGGAGTGCTGGGATTACAGGTCAAGAGTGCACCGCAATGCTGGTGGGTTAATGGCTTTCATGAGGCATAAATAATAAAGATAAGGAGGAATCTTTATAGGGTGGATCCAAAGAAGAGTCCTAAGAGAGGCAGAACAACTCATATATACCACAACTTTATTAAATTCTTTTTCAGTTGGGTGCTGGTGAAATTCTAGCTACTCAAGAGGCAGAGATCAGGAGGATCGCAATTCAAAGCCAGCCTGGGCAAATAGCTCGAGAGACCGCATCTCGAAAATACCCATCACAAAAAGGGCTGGTGGAGTGGCTCAAGGTGAAGGCCCTGAGTTCAAGCCCCAGTACTGAAAAAAAAAAATTTTTTTTTATCTTTTTCCCCTCCTCCTTCTACTAATCAAATCTACCAAGCGTTGCTAGCAGCTAGCAATGATTCTTATCTTGCCTACACATTAGTGTAATTTAGGGAGCTTTTAAAATCTCCACACCCATCTGGGCATAGTGGTACTAGTCTGCAAACCTAGGACTTGTTGAAGCAATAGAATCAGTTTAGACTAGTATAGGCTACATAGTGAGTTCCAGGCCAGTCTGGGCTACATGTTGGGACCCTGTCTCAAAAAAAAAAAAAGTATATGTAAATCTATATATAAAATAAAATATCTCACACTCAGACCACTGAAATCAGGTTATATGGGGTTGGGATCAAGAACTCAGTATATTTGAAAACTCCCTGGGCAACTTCAATGAGTAGCCAAGGTTGAAAGCCACTAACTAGTAGCTTATATATTAAGCAACCCACTACAGAGTTTTCTATACTATAATAGGAGAACTTGTTTACCCATGTATATTCCAAGTGACAAAATATGACAGATTGCTTTAGCTTTCTGGAAAATGTTCTGGTGTCCCTTGCTTATTTCAGGTCACTGTAAGTGTACTCTACTTTTCTTCTCTTTTTAAATTTTTCTTTCCAATACTAGAGATTGAACCTGGGCCTTTGCTCTATCAGTAAGCTATATCTCTAGCCCTTTCTTTTTCACATTTTATTTGGAGACAAGGTCTCACTAAATTGTCTAGCTAGGTTAGAAATTGCAATCTTTCTGCCTCAGCCTGAGTAGCTAAGATAATAGATATGTGCCACCATGGCCAGCTTTACTTTCTAAAAAATTTCAGTCTTGGCTGGGCACGGTGGTCATAACTATAATCCCAGTTACTCAGAAGACAGAGCTGGGGAGATTTAAGGTTCAAGGTCAACCTGGGCAAAAAGCTGATGAGACACTCATCTCAACCAGTAAGCCAGGTGTGGTCACTATGTATCTGTGATCCCAGCTACCAGGAGGCCATAGGTAGAATGTGGTCCAAGGGTGGTTCCAGGTTAAAGAAAAACAAACATGAGCCCCTATCTAAAAAAGAATAACCTAAAGCAAAAATGGCTAAAGATGTGGCTCAAATGGTACAGCAGGTGCAAAGCCCTGAATTCACACCCCAGCACAGCCAAAAAAACCCCACTAAATCTTGAATTTGTAATATTTTGCCACATTTGCTTTATTATTCTCTCTACATATTTACATACCCTTTTCTTACATCGTTTAACAGTAAGCTGCAGAATCATACCTTTTTTTTTTTTTAATTTTTTATTTAAAGGTGGGACTGGAGTTTGAAGCCAGGGCTTCACACTTGCAAAAGTAGGGTCTCTAGTACTTGAGCCACTCCCAGTCCAGTTTGCTCTTACAAACTATTTGCCCAGGCTGGCCTTGAACTGCAATACTCCCACTCTCAGCCTGCCAAGTAGCTAGGATTATAGGCGTGAGCTACCAGCATACAACCAAGAAATCATACCTCTTTATCACTGAATATATCAGTATATGTTTCTAAGAACAAGAAAATTCTCTTTTATAACTTCACTACAATGATTAAAGCATTGATACATCATCGACATCTAATCTATACACCTTATTTAAAGGTCTCAATAATGTCCTTTAAAGCTACTTGGTTCCCACCCCACCTCTGGCGCAGCATTCAGTTTAGGGTTATGCATTACACTTATTGTCATGTCTCTAGTCTCCTTTAATCTGAAGTTGTTTTCATGATGACTGTTTTTAAGTACAGGCTCCTTGGTGAACACAATGGTTCCAGTTTGCCATAGGTATTCCCTCATGATTACACTGAGGTTATGAATTTTTGGCAAGCTAACTGATAAGTGACATAATGATATGATTTCCTCAGTGCATCACATCCAAATGCAAATGATGTTAGTTTGTCCCATTACTGGTGAGGTTAAATTGAATACTTGGTTAAAGTTGTAAATGTCAGATTTTGACAATGTAAAGTTAGTATTGTTCTCTTTGTAACTATTAATCTGGGAAAAGATACTTTGAAACTATATAAATATTATATACCTCATCAAACTTTCACCTGCTACTTTTAGCATTCATTGATGACTCATTAATTATGATGTATGCCTATATATTCACACACACACATACTTATCATTCAATCAGTTATGATCCATTACTATGATCACTTTTTTTGTTGTTCAAATTATCCAGATTTGGCCAGTGGAAGCCACTTCAAGCTACAGTGCTCCTTGACATATCCCATCATTTTTTGAGCACTTATAAGATGTTCACGTTCAACTTGTACATTCTCTCAACCTAGCCATATCAGTTATTTCTCCAAGGAATTCTGGCACCTTTTAGTGAGAAAATGATTATTTAGAAACCAAGATTTGGATAATAAGGGTCCTCTATACATACTCTGACTTGGAAGAAATAAGGATATTTAATCAGAAATTCTACTATTAGGGTGTTGAGTGAATGTGAGTAGTACATAGTAGATGCTCAACAAATATTATAATCAAATAAATTAGTATAGGAAAACTCTGTAGTGTGAAAGCTAACCTAGAGACAACTGCATCAGTAAATACTACAAGGGAAACAAAGACAAATTCTGGGCCAGAAAAGTTGCCATATTTTAGCTACTGCAGGAGAGAAGAAAACATGAAAAGCAAGTCGGTTTACTGAAGAACAAGAGGAAAACAAGAATTAGTAGCTGATATCATGCCCAGAATACTTCAGTTAAGTATAAGGCCTGCCAAATACAAAAATACAGAATACAAAAGTTCACCTAAGGGCACAGTAAGCTAAGAAGAGCTAAACTAGTTTGTCTTTGATGGAAGGGCCATCCATATCTCTAGAAATGAGCTATTCAGGAACAATTTTACAAAAAATGGGAGGTTAAACTTTCCAAGAAGGATCCTTAGTTCCTAGGCCTACATTCATATGCAAAAACCAGCATTATATTATTGATCACAAAGATGAAGGTAATAAATTCAAGGGCTGGAATTGTAGCTCTGTGGTAGAACATTTGCCTAGCATGTACAAGGCCCTAGGTTAAGTATCCAGCATGGCAAAGCAAATAAACACCCTAATTACTTTAATAACTTACTCAAACATACTTATCTAAAGAAAGTGGTAGAGCCCCAATGAGATTGTCTACAAAATGCATATCTGAAAAGGTCAGAAACATTCTACTTGGGGCAATCTTAACACTACAACTTTTGAAAAATCCCCAAGATTTGACAAGGTTCTACTTACCCTTTTTATTGGTTGTGAAGTACTTGGAATCAGTCATGATTTTGGATCTTTAACGTGTACCTATACCAAAAGAAAAGAATGTCTTTATCCAGATTACGAATAACCTGCAAGGCATCAGATTAATTTAAAAAATGTTTACATTTAAGAATTTCTGCATTCAAAAATTAGTAGCTTCTTTCTTACCACCATTCTGGTGATTCACTGAGAAAAAAAAAAAAAAAATAGAACTGCTTCCAGGAGCTCCTTGTGGGCAAAGTCTAAAGGCCAAATGGAATGGGATAATAATCTGAACCTATTATGATTTTGTGATTTTTATTCACAATCATCTCCTCAAAGCATTCAAGAGCAAAAGCTAGAACTCTCTGAAAATACATCTTCAACTAGTTACTCAAACATTTAAGATAAGGAAAAGTTTGGTTACCTCCATGCCTCAAAATGCATTCACTTCAAAGCATATATTCCAAAGCAGTGTTAAGGTCAAAAGAGAAAACAATTCTACCAACCTATTCAATATTATATGCAACTTTCTGTAAAAGGAATCTCTTTCACAAAAAGAAAGTCTATATGAGTAGGATAACATTTTTTCACAACAAACATCTAGAGAGGCAAACATGTCTTATGCAAGAAGTTTTAACAAAAAAATTGTGGTCTTTGTATTTCTAACAATTTACATTTATCCCAACATTCCCAAATAATAAATGACATCAGTTTACAGTTAAAAACAAGGCAAAAACCGTAGACACTTATTCAGTCCTATTAAGCACAAAAGAAAATCAGAGCTGAATGTGGTATGTATCTATAATCCCAGCACTTGGAGGTTGAAGCAGGATGATTATCAATTCAATGCCAGCTAGAGAAAGAATGAGAGAGAGAGAGAGAGAGAGAGAGAGAGAGAATATGAATGAATGAGAGAGAGAATATCAGAACTGGTGTCGAAACTTAAAAGAACATGGATCTCAGGCTCAACCCTAAGTCTTCTTCCCAATTTCCCAATTCCTAGAATTAAACCAGCAGGTACATGGGTTTACTAGTTTAGAACAAACAAACAAAAAATGGTGTAGAGCCTGGCAAGCACCAGACCCTGAGATTCAAACCCCAGTACTGCCCCCACAAAATAAACAAAGAATAATAAAATGGACTAGTCACATTTCCCCAAAAATCATGAGATGATGTTTTCTGGTTTGTGAAACTCTAAAACTCTATCCAATGTACTTGATTTCTTTAAAAATACATAGTTATCATTAAATAATATTTCACTGCACTGAGGTACTTGGCACTTACTCATTACTACAAAATTAATATAACTTGAGTGATAACGTATTTGGTAAACTCAAGTGATTTGGCAAACAATAATAAACATGGTTCTGGAAGAAAAGACCTGCACTACCAAACAAATCACTATAATTAAAGAAAAGGAGGCTTAGGGATGCGGTTCAAGTAGTGGAGTGCCTGCCTGGCAAGTACAAGGCCTTGAGTTCATACCAAGGTACTGACCAAAAAAAAAGAAAAAAACCAAAAAACTAGACAAACCTAATATAATGAACCAGGGCTGGCAGAGTGGCTGAAGGTGTAGGCCCTGAGTTCAAGCCCAGTACCATTAAAAAAAAAAAAAGATGAGCTTCTTGTAGAATGTCATGGAAACAAGTGAGCTCATTTTGCTACTTTTCCAAACAGCCGTTTACTGCGTATGGCCTTGATCCTAACATAATAGCTCTTTAAGTTGTACCAGAACTTCACTGATCACCTTGCTAAAAGAAATGGAACTGAAGCTCACAAGTATCATTATACAATACAGAAATTTCTGGTTTAATATTTGTTATAATTAAAAGTTAATCTGTAACAGATGCTTGCCTTACACAGTGTTTTCTTAAAGTCTTTGCAGCAAAAATTCAAAGAATGCTATAATCATTTAATCCTTTCACAATGTATACTAAACGTGAGGTAGACAAATAAAGGAATTCTTCATGTAACAAAGACCTAGAGGTCTGGGAATGTAGCTCCATGGTTGAATGTTTACCTAGCACACATGAGGCCCTGTGTTAGATTCCTAGTACTTCCCCCACCCCCACCCCGCAACAACAACAACAAAAAAGACCTAGAAGCCTAGATTAAGTCTGAAGTTATCTATGAATTTATATTCACAAACAGAAAAATAAATATACAGAAATGATTACAAAAGCCTGACGGGAGGTTTATACCTCAAATCTATTATGGTCTGTATAGGATGTTAGCCATTTTAAGTTTCATGGAATCATCAAAACTTGTGAAAACTTAAAAATAAAATTTGCCTGAAAATTTTCATCCAGTTTTTTAGAAAAAGTGCACAAAATTATTGTATACTATATATATACACACACACACACATTAAATTCTTAAGAGGAATATTTTAACATATTCTGTTAAATAAATTAACCTAGCTTTAAGTCATATCTTTATTAGTAAGTAACCTATTCATTTCATTATCTCCCTTAACAAATTTCAATGTCAAGAAATATTCCTTGTCCTGTTCACTGTGAGAATTGTGTTTTTATCTTAACTAGAGAATAACGTACTCAACCACAAAGTTTCAAGGAAAAGAGGATCAAGTATCTTTAGAAGCCCACAACATAGATCCTAAACTAACAATCTCTGCTCTAAAGAAAGAAACAGACCCAACTATTCAGGAGGCTGAGGGAGGGGGATTCCAACTTCAAGGCCAGCACAGACAATTTATCAAGACCATCTCAAAAATAAATAAATAAAGGATCAGGGGTGCAGCTCAGAGGTATAGTGCTTGCTTCTCAATCATCAGATTGAACCATTAAGGGGGGTAGGGGCTGTGGATATAGCTTGGTATGAGAGTGCTTGCTGGGTGTGAACCCCACCCCACCCAAAAAAAGAGAGAAGAAATAGGTAAACATATCACAGATCACTCTCTTAACTAATGCCATGGTTAATAATATAATGAACTATTTCCTATCCATATTGGCAGAGAAACATTGTACCAAGTCAGCATTGCCTTAAGCCAAAAGAAACTCAAGGAAAAATGGAAGTCTAAACAAAAAACAAATAAGAAGGTGGCTGCACAACTCTGTGAATGCCCTAAATGCTGGTGAACTGTTCATCTTAAAACGGTTAATTTTATATTATGTGAATTTCACCTTATAAACCCCATATACATATTTTTAAAATGAAGTACACGTAATCACTTGCCAAATACGGACATGCCAAATTCTTCAAATATAGGATGGTGAAAACTCATGAGCTACAGAAAAAAATGGCGCTGAAAAAAAAAATTTGCTGAAGTACCTCAAAAATCACTGTCCTCCCAGGGAAAAATACTGTTCCTCAAGAGAGCCTAGAAATAAACAAAGCCACAATGGAATTTGAACTCACAGGACCTTTCTTTTACCAGATCAAACCTAAAAAGTCACTGGCTGTTCTGATTTATGGTATGACCTAGGGACATTGTTAAACAACAAAGCTGCCACAGTCAAAGCACATAATCATTTTTACTGGTCCTATCCCAAAGTTTGATGTCACTGCATTTCACAGAAGGCCTCCCTGAACAGGAATATATATCTGGATTTAACACAACCTAGTTTCTGCCAAATATAGGTTGTGAAGGGCGCTCCTCTCCTTCCAGTCCTCCCTCCTTCCAGTTCCCCACACCAGAAACTCAGCAGCAAAATAAGATTAATAGCTTGGGTAGAATAAGGTCAGAAAAAAATTTAATGAGGTCTTAATTTCCAATGGCTCTCTGGGAAATGGCAGCTACATTAGAATTAATAAGGCTATTTGGCCCTTCTTTGCACAGAAAGGCAACTTTATATAGTCCAGTGCTCATAGTGGAAAAACTAGCCAAAGTGAAGCAAATTGTAAAGCAGTCATTCCAGCACCTTTATTAGAAAGGTTTAAAGGTGGTAAGCTCATTATTCAAATATTCAATAATTAAGCAAAGACAATAGCATTTTCAACTATCATTTAGCTCATCAGAAACTATGAAGCATTTAAAAGTTAAAATCACCTGGTTTCTACAGACTACAAATTAATATCATAAAGAAAAAAGAAAAAAGCAGCTTTTACACCCAACTTTTAATGAAATACCAAGACACTCTGGAAAACTTAAGCCTGGAAGGAAAGAAAGAAAAAAAAGAAGACTATGGCCTACCTAAATATTCCTTGTTCATCTTGGTTCAAACCTGTACCTAAAATACAAGTCTAAACTACTCATCTTTTAAAGACGAATGGGATGAAAAAAGTGAACCTCTTTGAGTCTCTTAATTAAGTCAGAACATTCGCTCCATATTAATTTTACCATCCAACTCAGGGAAGCTGATGGCAGAACACACTATTCTTTCAGTTCTCCTGTTAAGATACCTGCAAACAGTTCTCACCTTACCCCACGCTTAGTCATCGCTGGAATGTGTTACACGTTTTCTCGCACAGCTAGCTCCTTCATCTGCTGCTTTCTATTATTACTTTGTAAGTGTACCCTGAGGCTAAGCAATAGCACTATAAAAGGAAGGTAATTAATAATTTAAATTGTTCCTCATTGAGACCACCACCTTTCTTAGTCATTCTGCATTTCTGAGCTAATGGCGTTTTCCTTACTTTTTCTTTCAAACCACATCGGTTTTAACTGTGTTGAGTAATTAAAAAACAGTTCTTGGGCTAGAGGAATGTCTCGAGTGATGGAGCACCTGCCTAGCAAGTGCGAGGTCCTGACTTCGAAACCCAGTACTGCACACGCCCCCGCCCAAAAAAATCCCAAACCAAAAAAAAAAAAAAACCACTTTTCCTTCTAAATGTCAAAGTTTAATGAAGCATCAATTTCACAATGCTTTATAAAGAAGCCAAGTGAGTTTAATAAAACCCAGAGGACTGCTTTGAAAACAACCAGCACCAATTCTGTGGATTCAAAGAATTTGGAAATAACAGGAAATTCCAGTTTCTTTACTTCGAGTGTAATCTACAGTCCTTCTCAAACCAGACGGTTCCTGCTAAACCCAGAAAAAAGGAGAAAGAAAAAATTGCGGCTATCCGATCGGCGTCCCCCTCTCACATAGGTGTCAGTTATGGGGGGTCCTCTGCCTTCCCCAGGTGTCTCCAAATCTCAAGTCACCGGGCAAGGTGGGGTTCGAACGGACAAGCCGTTGGGGGAATCCCTCCCTTCTCCCTTCTGCTTGCTGGCAACGTCCCAGTCCCTCCACCAACGACGCCGAGCGGGGGAACAGACGGGGGTTTTCCCCTCGGCCTCCAGCCTTCACCCGCCACACCCCTGGCCTCGGCCCCCCCAAGAACCCCGACTTCGAAACCTATCTTCCCTCCAAAGCCCCCAACTACCTGCTGCCACGCCCGAGCACTCCCTCGCCCCACCAAGCCGCGGCAGTGGAGACCCTTCTCCAAATCTTTTCCTCACAACGGTCACACACGACGGCTCCCTCCATCCTCAACGGTCACGCTCCTAGGATTTCCTTTCCTCACCCGGTCTCTCACCCATCCTGGGGTTCACCGCCCTACCCCCCTCCAATTAGGAACACACCCCAAAGCCAGCCGCCAGGAACTCACCGGAGGCAAGGGCGGGGGTGGTGGCAGCACTCAGAGAGCACAGTCGGGGTGGTGTTGTAATGGTTTCCTGCCCGTAACGATTCTTTCTCTAGGTCTAAACCACTGCGCAAAACCCAATTTGCCAGGGACAAAGATGGTGGGCAGGAACTCTCAACGTCAGAGAACCTCGCCGCGTGACGCCATCAGGCTGCGCGGGAGAACCCGAAAGGCGGGCGACAGGGAAAACCTTCTCTGGGTCAGGGCAAGGCGTGGAGACCTGATCGTCACAGGATGATCAGTAATCATCACAAGGACCACTTGTTAAACAAGCTGACATTCTCTGGATTTGTTTCCTCGCACAGGAATTTTCTAAGAAACGGAGAGGATGAAGTGACCTGTTTCTTTCTCAACAATAAACAAAGCTGAGCTAATTTCCCTGGCAGGTTCAGGGGCAGACAGAAGTGGTGCAGCCTTGACGGTGGGGCTGGAAGAGACGTGCAGAGGGCTTGAGACGGCATCAGCTCTGAGTTCTAGCTCCTGCCCTGAATGTGACTGGGAACGTTATTAACGCCTCCACAACCTTGGACTTTTATTATTGAAGGTTGAATGGTATAGAATAAGTGAAGCACCTAGCTTAAACTAAAGTTCCACACACACCCCCACCCTCCCCGTCCCAAATGAAGACCTTGATTCAGGATCTGGGACTGGAGAATAAGGTTGATGTAAATAAATGAAACTGACCCTAAAATTTTGTAAGGAAGGTTGGAGAGCAAGAGGTGGATTTTTCCCTCTCATATTTTTGCCCATCAACTCTGAGTCAAAAAGTGTGTTTTAAGCCTTCATTCTCAGAGAAATATGGTAAGTATGAAAAAACCTTCATATGGCATTCATGAGTTAATATCATTAAAATGGGAGAAGTTGGAAACCTAGGTGTAAAATGAGAGAATGTATACTTTTATGGTAAGATAACTGCTTAACGTAAAATATCTTGACAAAAGAAAATTCACAGCAAAACACTGTCATATATGTATAAGTAAAGGCTAGAAAGGATATTCAGCAGAATGTTAAAAGTGAATTGTTGCTGCGCTGGGGGCTCCCGCCTGCAATCCTAGCCACTCAGGAGGCGGAGATCAGGAGAACGGTGGTTCAAAGCCAGCCAGGCAAATGGTGTAAGAAACCCTATCTCAATAAACCCTTCACAAAAATAGGGCTGGTAGAGTGGCTCAAGGAGGAGGCCCTGAGTTCAAGCCCCAGTACTACAAAAAAACTCCAAAAAAAAAAAAAAAAAAAAGAATTGCTGGAAGATGAGCAATTCCTAATGTTTTCCTGTACTTTGCAAATGTTCTATAGTGAACATGTACTCATTTCTGTAACTGCAAAATGCTTTCAAATTGTATTTAAATAGGATATAGAAAAGTGCTTAGAGATAAGGGGAAAAATTAGATTATATATATATATGTATATAAACTTATCACATATATCTTGGCAGGTGGCTCACAACAGCTACATGGAAGGCTAAGATCAGGAGGATTGAGGTCCGAGGCCAGCCCAGGCAAATAGTTCATGAGACCCTCCATCTCCAAAATAACCAGAACAAAATGAACTGGAGTAGTGGTTCAGGTGGTATAGCATCTGCTTTGCAAGTGCAAAGCCAAGTTCAAACCCAAGCCCCATCAAAAAAGAAAAATGTATTTTTACATAAATGTACATATGTATTATGTGGTTCTGTCTAGGTGGTGGATTACAAACAGTTATCTTCTTTACTTTTTTTTTGTATTTTCTAATCTTTCTGTAAGGAATGTGTATTTCAAATTATTTTCAAAATACACCATCAATCCAAAAGATTTTCAGATGTCATCTCCTCCTCTTTCTGTTTTGTTTCTTTGTTTATGAGACAGTGTGGCTACATGGCCCAGGCTGGGCTTGAACTCTCAATCCTCCTGCCTTAGCCTCCCAAGTGCTGGACCACCCCCTCTTCTTATTTATTAAATTCTGTGTATCCAAAAATATCACTTAAAATGTAATCATTATAAACAAATTGAGATTTTACATTCTTTTGTACTAAGTACTTGAAATCAAATACATATTTTTACATTTATAGCACATGACATTTCAGACTAGATGCATCTTAAATGTTGACAGTGTAGCGTACGATAGTAATTGATTTTATAAAACAATACATATCAGCAGTTGACATATCACAGGAAGACCCCATTTCTACCAGTAAGCCAGGCATAGTGGTATATATCTATGGGCCCAGCTACTAGGGAGGCCTTAGGTAGAAGGATGGCTAGCTCAGGGCAAAAATTCAAGACCCTATCTTATAATAACTAAACAAAAAAGGGCTAGGGGTGTGGCTCAAGTGGTAAAATTTACTGCCTGGTCAGTTCAAGGCCCCAGGTTCAAACCCCAGTACTGCAAAGAAAAAAAAAATTTAAAAAATCAGTTATGCACTACAATCAAATTAGGTAAAGAAAAACTTATTTTGCAAAAATGAAACCACTTCCCAATATGCTTGACAGAAACAGGCTTATTCATTCCCATTTGTGTTCCACTGAAGACATTACCAAAATCTGCCCAAATGGTTTATTTCCAAGTGGCCCAGGATAGAACTCTTTGGAATGTTTTAAGTTTGGCTGTTGCTAGAGTTGTGACTTCCATTTGGACTCTACTCTTCTTCACTGTTTGGCAGTGGTTTTGGTTCCCACATCTTACTAAGAATAGTTGACACCTCTCTCTTCCCTCATGAAAATTCTTCCAACGTTCATATAGTTTTAAAATAACCCTGCTTATTTCCAAAGTCTCCTCCATCTCCCTATTTGTTGAGAAAGCTCAGCAAAACCATTGCCTGGCCATCTTTGTGCTCTACAACATGGGCTGCCTGTAGGCAAGCTAAAGCTATGGTGAAAGGAGGTGACAGTAGAGAAAGATCTGGTCCCTCAGTTTTATTCACTATACTCCATGCAAGGGGAAGCAACATGTCTTCTTGACCTACGTCCTGCACCACTTGCCTATGTAAGGATAACACCGGCAAGCAACAAGTCATTAGTTCTAAAAGAATTCACATTCTAATATGTAACTCACCCGTACATAGAAATTCCTTTGGGAAGGAATATGAAAATCTAGTTTTTAATACAGAACTGGCAGCAGAAATCAATCCTCAATTTGAGACTACTCCAAATTCCTCTACTTTGGAAGCCAAAAACACACATGTAGGAGCCATTAATACAAGATCTGTACTTTTCTCTTGAAATAGACCATAGCAGTGGCAATTACTTGTTCTCTTAAGATAACATTATCTCTTGGATAACATTAGTTTAAAAAAAATTGTAGCTTCCAATACTCTTCTGAGAGAAACTTTTTAAGTCCCATTGGTGCTCCTTCAACAGATTGTTTATTCAGAATCCACTGTAAATAGTGGGAGTTCTGGCAAAAGCTCCCTGTCGTGGACGAGCCAGCGAGGTGACCAGACCAGCCTGTCTTGTAAACGCGCATCTGGATCAGCAGCACCCCTCCTTATTGATTTTTTTGGTCTGCGTAACTCTCAGGGGCTTCTAATCTTTCTAGCTCCTCTTACTTAACTATTAACTCAACAAGTATTTATTGAGGGCTACCATGTCTCAGGAATTATACTAGAGATCCTAATCTTTACTACTAACAATAATCCCTACGTATTATCAAGGGCTCAGTCTAGCGGGAGACCACTTAACCTGTCGAAATGATGCAGCCACAGGGTAAGGCTGGTTTAAATTAATCACGATCAAATTAATATTAATCGAGCATTTATTTCATGCCATTCTACCAACTACTTTACATTTATTACATTTTTAAATCCTCACAACCTGATGCCCGGGTGAGTATTATTAACTTTTCCTGTTTGAGTTGAAGGCAAGTTAAATGGGAGAACAAACACTCACAACACCGTGACATCCTACTGAGAAAGAAAGCAGGATCCATTTTCATCTAAAGCAGCAAGTGCCTAAAACTGCACTTGAATTAAACACTTGGAAAACAGGTAATAGCTTGGATGAAAAGTAATTGCCCCAAGTTCAGAGGAACAAACAGGAGCTATCTTGTCTCGGTAGTTTTTCCTTATAATTGGCGGTAATAAAGCTGAGGTTTCTGTCTCCGGCGAGGTGGTTCCGAGCCCGTCCCGCAAGGCGCCAGGGATGGATTAAGCGCCATTTCGCCGCGCGTGTACAGAAGGGCCTTCCCACCTCCACCTTCCCCTTCTCCCCTGCGCCCCGGCTGCTCCGCCCGCGGGCACGCAGGCCTCGGCATTCGGTCCCAAGCACCCAGTCAGAAAGATCCCCGCAGAGGGAGAACCTGTGGCTTTTCACCAAGGCTACGCCGCCGAGCCATCCGGGAAAAGTTCACGCAATCAGTGGGGCACTCATCAAGCCCGCCAGCATGCCGGTCGCTCCGCTAGTACCTAAGCGGCGGAAGCGGAAGTCCCGTTGTGGTCATAGAGTGCTCCAGTTCCGGCTTCAAGGCCGCTTTCAGGGCTAGAGAGCCTTGCTTCCGCCAGCCGTCCTCCAGGCCCCGGCGGCTTCTGTTTCCGGGTGTGGCTTCTGTCATAAAGCAGAGGCCTCACTTCCAACGTGGCGTCGTGGGTGCTTCGCGCCTCGCCTGGGGTCAGCGAGCAAGGACCGGCGCGGCCCGGGGTGCTTCATAGCCAGCAGCTGGGGCCAGTCCTCACGTCCCGGGTCCGCACGGGCACCTCTGGTTCCTCAGAGCCGGCTGGCTTTCCAGCAGCTCGAGAGCTGGGCTCCTTCGCCCACACCTGCCCCCCAGAGTCACGCTGTGCCCTGTGAGGGGCAGAACTTGACAAGTGACCCTCTCCCCCACGTACCACTGGGCCAGGGCGGGAGTTAACTAACCCCTTAGCCTCACTTTGAGACCCCCCTCCCTTCCGCCTCCAGAACAGGGCTGTTCCCCCGGTTGAACGTCACTTGACAGTTTGGACCAGAGTTTCGGGAGTCATGCAGGACGGTTACCTTTAAGATTCAGCACCCATCTGGTAAAAAAAGATTAAAAGAAAAAAAAAAAAAAAAAGCTCATACTCATTAGTTTGTGGGAAAAGTGAAACTCAGCACATAATAGGATACCATGGCTGAGCACGGGGCTCACATCACAACTGCTTCTGTGGCGGATGACCAACCTTCCATCTTTGAGGTGGTAGCACAGGACAGTTTAATGACAGCAGTGAGACCTGCCCTTCAGCATGTGGTCAAGGTAAGGTATTAATTCTCTGGAAGGTTTCAGGGATGACCGGGTAAAAACCAAGCCAACCATTACTTCGTAGCCTAGGATTTGAAATAACCAATTTGCATATAATTCATATCCTGTGGTTTAGTGGGTAGTCAGTATAGAGCCCTGTACTGAATACTTAGCACTTCAGGGAGTTGAGGGTAGACCCTAGAAGAAGTGACTGTTTAAGCCAAAAGTGTTCAATTTACAGGGAAAAGGAAAATGTAAACTCAAGCTATTGTAGCTGTGTAATAGAATGAACTTCTTTTAATTTCCTTTGCTTTAGGTTCTTGCAGAATCAAATCCTGAACACTATGGCTTCTTTTGGAGATGGTTTGATGAAATCTTTGCTCTACTTGATTTTCTGCTCCAGCAGCATTATTTGTCTAAGACCAGTGCCTCATTTTCTGAAAATTTTTATGGCTTAAAGCGAATTGTAATGGGGGACTCTCAGAAGTTTCTGAGATTGGCCAGTGCTGGTCTCCCAAAGAAGCAGCTTTGGAAATCAGTTCTGTTCCTCGTTCTTCTTCCCTACTTGAAAGTGAAGCTGGAGAAGCTGGTTTCCAGCCTGAGAGAGGAGGATGAATATTCTATCCATCCCCCCTCCTCCCACTGGAAACGATTTTACAGAGCCTTCTTGGCAGCCTACCCATTTGTTAACATGGCCTGGGAAGGCTGGTTTCTTGCACAACAACTTCAGTACATCCTAGGAAAAGCTCAGCATCACTCTCCCCTGCTGAGACTGGCTGGAGTTCGGCTAGGTAGACTGACAGTTCAGGATATACAAGCTATGGAGCACAGACTGGCTGGAGCCAGCATGATGCAGCAACCAGGCAGGAGGTAAGATCATAACATTTCCAAACAATCTTTAACAAATTCTGAACTCTTATCCCAATTTTATGAAACTTACTGCCTTTAGTCAACTTTCAGTTACTTAATAAAGTCATAGAAAAGTTATTCCTCATGTCTATAAAACAAAGACTGCCATCCTGGTAACCATCCTCATCACACTAGGCACATTTTAGTGCACACCTCCTATGTGTCAGGCCCTGTGCTATGCATTTGCTTTATGTATTTATTATCAAGCCTCATCACAAGTAAATGCAGTAGCTCCACTGAACAGTTGAGGAAGCCCTAAAATATCAGTACCTTGCACAAAGCAGCACAGCTAGATGGCAAAGCTGAGACTCAAGGCAGATCAATACAATCGTAAAACTTTGGGGTTGTTTGTTTTTGCAGTGCTGGGGCTTGAACTCTGAGCCTACACCTTGAGCCACTCCACCAGTCTTTTTTTGTGAAGGGTTTTTTCAAGGTTGGTCTCTAGACCTATTTGTCCAGAATGGCTTCAAACCATGATCCTCCTGAAATCTGCCACTTGGGTAGCTACGATTACAGGTGTGAGCCACTGGTGCCCCTCCAAGACTGTGTTCTTAATCATGATGCTGTACCATGTCTAGCTAGTGCTTGTGTTCTCCTACAAGTTCAAAAAAATACTCTTCTGTACTGCTGTTATTTTTTAAGTGAATTTTCTTTCTGGATGCTCTATATCTTACACAAAAACTACATAATCACATTCTCTTAATTTTTCAAAACAAAAGCCTAATCTTTTGCTATTAAAAATGAAGCTTAGATCTGGGCATGATGGCACACCTATAATCCTAGCACTCAGGAGGCAGATGACAGGAGGGTCAGGAGTTTGAGGCCAACATGGGCTATTATTTTGAGACTGTGTCTCAGAAACAAACAAATGAAGCTTAGGGCTTGACCATGTAAAATACTGAGTCAGGAGAGAGAAACATTTAGAATAGATCCTTAAGGAGACTGTGCCAGTACAGCCAACTCTTCAGTCCCCAAATCAGTGACTCTGATGTAAAGCTGCAATGGCATTTATTTTGGTCTTTCTATGATTAAACCCAAATAAAGTTTTTTCTCTGCCCCTTTGTTCTTTTTTCCCAACAGTGTTAATGAGAAGATAAAGTCAGCTCTGAAGAAAGCTGTGGGAAGTGTTGCCTTATCCCTCTCCACTGGTCTTTCTGTGGGTGTTTTCTTCCTGCAGTTCCTTGACTGGTGGTACTCATCTGAAAATCAAGAAACCATCAAATCACTGACTGCCCTGCCTACTCCACCACCACCTGTTCATCTAGACTACAACTCTGATTCTCCTCTCTTGCCCAAAATGAAGACTGTGTGCCCACTGTGTCGTAAAGCCCGGGTGAATGATACTGTTCTTGCCACATCTGGCTATGTGTTTTGTTATCGCTGTGTGTTTAATTATGTAAGGAGTCACCAAGCTTGTCCCATCACAGGTTATCCAACAGAAGTACAGCATCTAATTAAACTGTACTCTCCTGAGAACTGAAAGGGACTATCATATTATCTCACAATTTAAGTATTGTACTGTGAACCCACAGGACTGTTTTTTATCATGGTATAAAGCACTGATATTTCCCTGATTCTTGATTATATTAACCATAAGCAACGATATGGATTCCTTTAAAAAGATATATAAATTTGATCCTAATTTTTTAGCATGCTCTCTAGACCCCTACTTACAGTTAACCAACTACGTTAACCTGGTTAAAAGATTGTAGGGGATGTGAGGGCAACAGAAGTGAATTAAAGAGGATAATTAATACAGACGCTCTCAGGAGAACCCCAGCTTAGACTTCATAAAATGGATGGTTAGAGAGAAGCAGGTCTTCTCTTTAGAAAACATTCACCTGCCTATGAGGCAGAGGTCTTATAACTTCCCAAACAGTATGAAACATGGACCTGCTCCTTATAGAAATACTAAGGAACACTTTAGAAGAACTCCTTTCATATACTGTGACCCCCATTTGTTAAATGACATCTGCTACAGTTCATCAGCATCTGAAGAGTTCACATATCATTCTTGAAAAGCAGGTGAAAGTAGAGGTTGAGTGTTTATATAGACAGTCGTCAGAAAATTTCAGTGTGAAAGCAAAGCTAACAAATAATGAAGAGATGAAATAAAAGACCCAATGAATATTTAATGAACAATGAAAAGACCTACCATTTAATAAGCTCTTTTCTGCTTGCTGTTTGCTAAACTAGCATGAACGATCCTGGTTATTACTAAAGTTTCTACGAAACATTTAAGTAAATTTTAAAAATAAATGTTTCTGGCAAAAAACTATAATATCCTGTCACTATTTTTTTTTGCGGTACTGGGGTTTAAACTCAGGGCCTTCACTGTGAGCAACTCTACCAGCCCTATTTTTGTGAAGGGTTTTTCGAGATAGGGTCTCCTGGAACTATTTGTTCGGGCTGGCTTTGAACCTCGATCCTCATGATCTCTGCCTCCTGAGTAGCCAGGATTACAGGTGTGAGCCACAGGCGCCTGCCACACATCCTCCATTATTATGTGGAAATTACCTGAGGTATTTAAAATAAATTTTCACTAAGACCACATTTGACTTTTTCAGGTATTTTTGTACTGAAGAATTAAAAAAAAAAATCCAGTAATTAGAACAAAAATCATTCACTCTAAGAGGAAGAATACAACTTTGTTAGCTGGTAGAGTAGCTCAAGTGAAGAGCATGCATCTACCTCGCAAGTGTGAGGCCCTGAGTTCAAACCCCTGTATTGCCCAAAAAAAAAAAAGAAAAACCCAAACTGCTTTATATTAAAAATACTACAGAAACAGATCTGGTATAGTAGTATATGCCTCTAATCTCAGCACTAGAGAGGCAGAGGCAGGAAAGTGAGAGTTAAAGACTCAGCCTGAACTTCATACCAAGACCCTATTTCTGAAAAACAAGGACTGGTGATGTAGCTCAGTAGTAGAGTACTTGCCTAGCATGTGTAAGGCCATGGGTTCAATCCTTAACACTGAAAAAAAAAGAATAACTACACAAACACTTAAGTTTCCTGTGTAGGAAAATTTATGCCACTGGATTGGCAGGTTGGTGAAAATATGAGTTTTTTAAAAGTTATTATGTTAGCAGGATATGGCAGTGTTTATCTGTAATCCCAGCATTCAAGACACTGAGGCAGGAGGATCAAGAGTTACAGGCTATCCTCAGCTACATGGTAAGACTGTGTCTCAAAAAGCAAAAATAAATAAATAAATAAATCATTAATAGAGGACAGATGAAAATAATTTGTAAGTGGCCTTTGCTGAACCACGTATTTTTCCAAAACCATTGGCAATTCAAAGTATATTCTCTAATGGCACAGAGGTGACAGAACTAAATTTTGAAGGACTATCATAAAATCATAGGGATTTTAAAATATGAAAACTTCTATACACCAGAATAATAGAATGGCTATAGTTTACAAGTTCTTATAAAACTTCAAAGGTTTTCAAAACAAATACTGTAATTAATTAAAGCATTTTTAATACAGTAGTAAGTCAATTGGGAAATTGATTCAGATTCACAATTGAAATGCTGTAGTCCTCCATGGAGATTTCAAACCAGATTTTTCACCTCAACCTAAGAACAAAAACATAAAAATATCAGTAACTCAAAAGGATATCAAAGAAATACTCTCATATGTAAGCCAGTATTCAAAAAGGTTAGAACCCATCTATGTGGCAAAACCACAACTAGAATCAGCTCAGAGAGAAGATTAAGGAGTCATGCCCTGGTCAAAGCCAACACTGAAACAATGGCAATACCAGGTCAGACTATACTTCACTCATCATCGCATCACTGCATTTCACCTCCTTCAGTCTTCTAAGAACAGTTTGATGATCTATTTTCACATCCAAGAAAACCTAGGCTTATTTTTAGGAGAAAATAAAAGCTTCTTTTTAAAATAAGTTGCTTGCAACCATGAGTTTTTAAATAAATATTTTATCTTACACTATGTTTTAAGTAACTCTACTATACAAAAATGCAACTTGGTACAAGACTGGTTGGTGGCAGGGCGCAGGAGGGGGATTTGCAGAACAGGATAGCAGAAAAGTACTTACCATTCAACACTTCTGAGCTGGCACTGGGGGCTCACGCCTGCAACCATAGCTACTCAGGAGGCAGAGATCAAGAGGATCATGGTTTGAAGCCAGCTCCAGGTAAATAGTTCTTGAGATCCTATCTCAAAAAAAAGCCATCACAAAATAGGGCTGGTGGAGTGGCTCAAGTGGTAGTGTCAAAAAACTTTCTGCTTGAGAAACTAAAGCAGATACCTTAAAAGCAACTGAGGCCAATAGGAAAAGGGGACCAGGAACTAGAGAAAAGGTTAGATCAAAAAGAATTAACCTAGAAGGTAACACACACGCATAGGAAATTAATGTGAGTCAACTCCCTGTATAGCTATCCTTATCTCAACCAGCAAAAACACTTGTTCCTTCCTATTATTGCTTATACTCTCTCTACAACAAAATTAGAGATAAGGGCAAAATAGATTCTACCGGGTATTGAGGGGGAAGGGGGCAGAGGGAGGGGTCGGAGTGGGTGGTAAGGGAGGGGGTGGGGGCAGGGGGGGAGAAATGACCCAAGCCTTGTATGCACATATGAATAATAAAACAATAAAAAAAAACCTTTCTGCTTAAACATTTTTTATTTTATCCATGTAGAATAAGATCTAAAAGATGTTTGGTAGGACTTACAGCCTAGTTCTAAAGCAGAAGCTTTAGAAAAGATTTTATACTAAATTACTTTTGAACATTCAGTTCATTCAATATAGAATTCAACTTATAATTCTTCTACCAGCAAAAAAGATAAAAAGTATAGTCACAATGCCAGGCACAGCAAGACATGCCTACAGTCCCAGCTACTCTGGAGACTGAGGCAGGAAGAAAGAGGCCAGCCTGGGCAACATAGCAAGACTCTGTCTCTAAAGTAAGCAAACAAAATTTTTATACCAGAATCTTTTCAATTCCAGAGTCCAAGACCAAGAGAGGCTATGATTTTCCAAAGGGTTCTATAGCAAATCAACAGCAAGACCTAGAAAGAGAACTGAAGTCTGATAAGTTATTTTCCTATTCCTAGCTTTCAGGCTCCCACCCTTTATTAATGAGGGAAGCCACCAGCAAGATAAACTAAGGCAAAGCCTGTGTAATTTATAACCTGGATAATCAGTTTCCAAATGAGAAAGCTGACCAATTCATTTATTCTAAATGAAACCTTGTGGTAGTATTCTATCGCCAATGTGGAAAGTACAGGGATCACAAAGTCACCCTCTCCAGACAGTTAACATGATATCAGTATCTAAATAACAATTCTGGAGTCACCATATACTTCCTTCCACCATCTATAAATGTCAATAGATGGATACTCCATAGTTAAAAACTGACCACTGTTGGTCTGTTTGCCATTCAGCAACAAAGCTCCACAAAGAGAGGAGAACTAGGTAGGTGCCAGTTATACAGGTCTATGCTTGACCTTTTAACTCATCATTCCTTAAAGTGAAACAAGTACATATTAGAAATAGGGAAACAGGCCAAGAGAGCTTAATTTAAGTAGCTCTGCCTAAAATCATGAAACAGGAATGCCAAGCTCAATCAAGGAGTTCCTGCCTTAAAGCCCATCTTCCTCCTACCAGATGATACTGGGAAATCAATGGGTCTGCTGCCTCCAGTTTCCCTCCAATCCAATGTAAACACACACTAACCTTAAAATATGGAGTAATTATATCATTACTCAAAAGCTTTTAATTGCTCCCCACGGAGGAAAATAAATCCAAACTACTTTGCTTAGCATTCAGGATGTTTCAAAACTGATCCATGAGCGAAGCCCTGGGTTCAATCCCTAGGACCAAAACAAATAACAACAAAAATCCTGACCCAAACTTACCCTTCACTGATACCATAACCCAAGCCAGTCTGTCCAAGCCAGTCTATTCCTAAATCCTCAAATCTGCTCTATTTGTTCTTGTGCCTTCAACTAGAAAGTCCTCCTTTCCCTCAGTAGAAAACTTACTGTACTTCAATTCTACCTCTCCAGTTTGTGACCTTCCAAGCTGCTTTGCATGAAGGCTTAGTCCATCAATTCAAAAGTATCCGTTCTTGCTCTGAATTATGGAAGCACAAGAGTACCTATTTTGTGGAAACCATTTCATTTTGTGTTTTAAGATCTAGATAAACCGAACTTGAATTCAAGATCTTGGCTCCTGACACACACACAGCAGGTATACTTTCCTAGTTCTCTGCCAAGTTCATGCCTGGTACACAGAGTTTGCTCCACCTGAACTGCCTTCCCATACTTCTTTCAGTGGGGAGAAAACCTCATTAGTCACACTTTTCTAACTACTCGAATGTCACCTCTTCTGCTAAGTGTCCCTAACTCTCTCAGCCATCCCCTCTGAGATCCACACCATTTTCTTGTATCACAGCACGCGTCGCACACCAACTATTCACCAATTCATCAGTCCTCCACCATCTCTCTCCCACCAGCCCCATCACAATGAGTACCTAAAGAACCAGGATTATGTTTCACGTGCCTTGTACATAGAACTTCAATAAATGACCGTTTCATTCAGTCAGTGGGCGACCCTTCCCACTAAGTTGGCCTAAACGCCTTGATTATAAAAGCATCAGCACAATTTATAAAGCTGGCTTACTTTCATCATGTCACGTGGGAAAGGACCAGCCCGCGCAACTCCAAGCCCTCATTCTCTCATCGTCTAGCTCATGGCGCTCTGCACAGGTCCCTCCGCAGAGCAACCAATGCCTACACTCAGTAGATTCTCAAATAAAATTAAAAAGGTAAAGTCCAAATCCCACCAACTTAAGGAAAGACTGAAGCTGTCCTTCGGATAAACAGGAGTAGGGCCTGAGCCAAGGCTCAAACCAAACGCCCAGGCAGGAAGGAGTCGCAACCTGCTTTCCGTACTCCTAAAATCTTCTACACACCGGACTCTCTCAAGAGCTTGTCCTGGCCTGCGGAGGATGATGGCAGCAAAACTCTCAGGCTTTCCGTCCCCTGATCATACTTGCTTCCCACGTCCTCTCCCCATCGCGGCGCTGCTGGATCCGTTTCCCACAGCTCAGCGCGGCCCTCGCTAAACAACCAATCCAACGGCGGGTAGTGAGTCACGTGAGCGCCGGTGAGGCGGGCACCGACACGAAGAACAGCCAATCGGAGGCCGAGGCGAAAAACTGGGCTGGAGATGGCAGGAGGTGGACGTCCTTTTTCGGTCGCATCTTTCTGTTGCGGTCTCTGTTAAAAGAGGCCAAAAAGAAAAAAAAGAAGAGTTAGGCCAATCTCATACTATACTCGGAGCGATTTTTTTTTTCCTTCTCCACCTAGAACTCCCTGCTCTTGGATCTCGAGGCGATTGTTAGGCAGAATGATTTTGCCTGTGCCTATGCTTTCACAACGGAAAGGGTGTCTGAGGTGGGGCGTATTGTCTGTGTGTGACCTGGGCTTCTGGGAAGAAGTGTTGATTCAGTGAGCCCAAATTTATTGCTCTCGTCTTGGATGCTGCCTGAGTGCCAGGGGTTGGGGTGACTCACTGATAACTGTGCCCTTTCCTGTCCAGGGATGACTCGTTAGCTGGCCAAGCTCTTGGACACTTCCTAAATAAGGAAAAGCCCTGAGAAAAGTTCAGCCAAAGATGTGGGAAGGCAAGAAGGAAAGACTTCTGGGAGAGGTGGCATTGCATCTGGGTCGTGAAGAATAAGTAAGATTTGAGAATTAGAAGATTCTGGGAGAAGGAATTTAAGCTCCCTAATTGGTTGAGAAAGTCAGTTTACCAAATTTAGCCAAAGTTGATACAGTTCTTGAGGTGCTTCCCATAATTCTGTGAGTTAAAAACAAGAGGAACCTGGGTGTTAACAATACAGATACCATCAGCATGAAAAGCAAACAGCAAAAACTCCAAAATGCCTGGGGTCAAACCCAGATCTGCCCAATCAGATGTTAGAGGGTTGGAGTTCAGTCATATATATATATATATATATATATATATATATATATATATATATATATATGTACTGGAGTTTGAACTCAGGAATTCACAATTGTTAGGTAGGTGCTCTACCTCACCTCCAGCCCTAGGCATGTATATTTTTAATAAACACTCCAGGGACTATGATTCACACCAAAGTTTAAGGTCCAGGGTTAGTGTTTTAAAAATAAAAAAACTAAAGGGGGAGTTGTAGAAAATTGGAAAGACAGGCTTTGCTAAGGATGCTAGCTAGCTGACTGTAATTCAGCCACTCGGAGAAACTGGGAGAACTGAAGATTTCACAGGGCAAGGCTTTAGGTGATCAGAGCTGTACTTAAGGAAACTTAGTCTGCATTGCTGTTAGATTAGAGGTGGGGCAGAGAGTAAAAACAGGGAAAGCTATGGAAAGGTGAGAGTCTAAATGAGATTGACAGTGAAACTGGAGAGGTAGCAGAGGAAAGGCATTGTGTTGAGGGTCAGATAGGGATGGGCAGAGGACATGGGGGAAAAAAAGGTTGGGGGAAGAATGGAGGGAAATGAAGCATCTTCAGTACCAGGCCATTCAGGCTCTCTCTTGTACTTTAAGGGCAGAAGAGGTTAGACAGTGAAGAGACTGTGCCTTTGCATGTGCTGGTTCCTCTACCAGGTTTACCTTTCCCTCTCTATCTCCCTCTCGCAACTTGGTGCATTCTTACAGGTTACAGCTTACATATTAGTCAATTGGTGAAGGAAATTTTTTGTTCGTATGCAATACTGGAGTTTGGACTCAGGACTTTGTCCTTGCAAGGCAGGCATTGTACCACTTGAGCCACACCCCCATCCCACATCATGTCATTTGGAAAACCTCTTCTGATTCTCACAAGCATGGTTATTATCACTCCTCAGGATACCCAGCACTGCTCATTCACTGCTAGTTCTCCAAAGTGTCTCTAGAGTGCAGTGATCATGAACATGAATTATATGGCAAGCAGCTTAAACTCTGTTCTTCAGTTTTCCTATTTGTAAAAAGAAGAAAGGATAATAAAAATGTAAAATTAAAATAAATAAGGATGTCCAGAAATCTATTTAAGGATATCATGTAATCGTAAACAAAATGAAGTAGAAACATGGTATTGTTCACTGGTTTGATGTAGAGAGAGAGAAATGTTTTAGTTTCCTGTGCTGCCAGAGCAAATTGCTACAACTTGTGGCTTAAAATAACAGAAATGTAGTTTTTTAAAAAGCTAGAACTTTTATAACTGGAATTACAACATCATTTTCACTAGACTGAAACAAGATATTGACAGGGCCATGTCCTCTCCAAGAGCTCTAGAGGCAAATCCATTCCTCTCTTTCAGCTTCTGGTGACAGCTGGCATGCCTTTGCTTGTGGCGACATCACTCTGGTCTCTGCCCTATGATTGCATTGCTTCCTCGTGTTTTGTGTATATTGAATCTCTGTGTCTCTCTTTTATGAGAATACTTGTGATTGGGTTTAGGATTCACTAGGTAATCCAGAATAATTTCCATTTTCCCATCTCAAGAGTCTTAATTACATCTACAAAGACCATGTTTCCTTATAAGGTAACATTTACAGATTTACAATAATAATAATAATAAACAATGATGGTTGGGCACTGTTTAGTCTAGTATAAGAATCCTGAACCGGTTTACCAGTATCACCAAATGAGAGACCTGACTCTCATATGTTTATTTTTGCTATGTGTTTTTTAAATATAAAAAAATAATGCTCCTTGTAAGCCATTTTAAATTATAGTACTGTTGAAGAAAAGAAAGGAAAGGAAAGAAATCAAATGAAAAATTACCTACAATCCTCCAACTCACAGACAACCAGTTCATAATCTATGTGCATTATTATTCTACACTGAGTAGAACAAGCAATTTGGAAGGAAATGAAATAAGTTAATATTTCTCACAGCAAATATGTACAGGATAGTCTAATTTAAAATTAATGCAGAGCCTTGCAAACAAAGTAGAAGGTGCTTGTATGATGTGTGGATTTCCTTGGAGGTTATAATTTTAACTTTGACCACTCACTTGAAAAACCAGAGTCTTCCCATTACAAAGTCCTGATTCACTCCCTGAGGTCAGACCCTGGCCTGCTAATCAGCCCTGACATAGACACTTCTTGAGTCCTTATCAGCCTTCCTCAGTGGGTCAATGTTATGAAGACTGTAGGACTCTGGCAGAGTTCCTGCTCCTCCAAGGCTGATATCACAGGCACCAGGGGCCCTGACCAAAGGCAAACATTCAGACCAAAGCCAGAAGTGGAACTGAATCATCAAGAGGAAACACAGAGCATCAGGTAAAAAAACCGCTTTTTTCAAAAATCTTAGTTTAGGTGCAGTTTATATCTGAGAGCATGAAGGGCTTAGCATAAAGTAGCTAAGAAGACATTTGTAAAGAAAAATGTGTGAGAAATTCTGGAAAGTGTGGAAAGGCTGTTTAACTGGATACAGAATCTCAGGAAACTAATTTTATGGTTGTTATCAGCATCCAAGTAACATGGATGAGAGTCATGAATGGGAGTCTGGAGTCTAGAGGCTGTGCTAGTTCAAAGTCAATAAAATTTGTGCTATGAATCCCATCAATGAAAGTAATAGTAGGCAAATTGCGGTTGGAAATAAGGAAGCTATTTCTAACAGAATTGTCAGAAAACAGAATGGACAGCTTTGAAAGATAATACATTACTAGTCACTCTTAAAGCAGTTGCAAGGAAATTTGTGGGGAGTTAGGAGTATTACTGAAGGAATTTTAGAATTCTGATGGTTGGACTGGAAGATATTTAAAGTCACCTGCAACACTTTTGTGATTCTATGATATACATAGGATGTTATGTGAAATTTCCCTAAGAACCATAAAACACCACATTTACGTGTATCAATGGGAGAGGCTCACATACTGAAAACAGTTCCTCAGGTTGATTCTGCTTTGCATGAGGAAGTGAGAAGAGCAACTGATGTCAGGAGAGGGTATCTGTCCTGCTGGGTGCCTGCTTTATCCCTCTGAGTATAAACAATATCCACATGGCTCCTGCTTTGCAAACATGGCATGTACAACCTTGTCCTGGAGGAAGACTTTTGGCTTCAGTTAGTAAATATTTTTACTTATTTTCAGTTAGTAAATAATCAAAGGTAAGGGGATCGTTTCTGAAATATTTGTTTCAAAACTTTAATTTCAGTTGAAGTGGTTGTTCTCTGGTCTATGAAACAAAAGTAAGGTTGATTGCAGTTTAATGACTATACCCCAAAGGCTCATGTGTTTTCCCAAGTCCTAGAGGTTTCTGTAGGACAGGACAGGCCTATTAGAAGGGAAGGAACATCCCTATTTTCATATCACACTGTCTGAAAAAAATGTACTTTTAGAATTTAGAAGATATGTCAACAGCTAAAACATTTTCTGCATTTGGAATTGATCAACATTTCAAGAGTAGAATAGGCTTTTTAAAATGTATAAAACAGTACATGAAAATACCAAATTTTGTGGGGTTTTTTGTTTGATTGTGTGTTTGTTTGCTTGAAATAGGGTCTTACTATGTTGCCCAGGACTGGCCTCCAACTCTATCCTCTTGCCTCAGCTTCTTGAATGCTGGGATTATAGACATGTACCTCCATGCCTGGCTTAGTGTTTGTTTTTATAGCAAGATCTTCTATAGCACATATATTTCAAAACTGCACTCCGTTTTTTTTCTCTTTGAGTTATGAATAGAAGTATTGCTTGACTTCAACTTCTTTGTCTGCTTAATCACTAATAACTTACTTTAGCTCCTGTGGTCTTTGTATTTAGGTTCAAAGATGCTGCTTCCTAATAGTAAGTGGAAGATTACTGGACATTTCAGTAATATAATTTTTTCCATTATATAAAAAAATTGAGGATTTACTTTTACCTATACCCATTTCTTGCTGGCAAGGCTAAGGATATTTGGCAAAGTTGTTAGGAAAGAGTAATATCAAAGATTATCTCCAATGTTAAAATGTATTGCAATAATTTATAGCATTGAAGAAAGTATTGTCATCTCTGAAATCTCACAAATTTAGAAACAACATTCCTGTCCTGATTATTTATAAGAACACTTTCTGTTATTTTTGGAGCACAGGAGGCTACCAGGATGGAGAGCCTCCAGCCTGCTACAGAAATGCCCTTTGCTGAGATCATCGTACCAGTGGGCAGAATAACTTTTGGAGAAGAGAGCAGAAAGAAGATGACCAATAGCTATTTGAAAAGAAATGAGAATCTGAACATCATCCGAGCCATCTGTGCACTGCTAAATTCTGGAGGGGGTGTGATCAAAGCAGAGATTGTTGATAAAAGCTACAGTTACCAATGCCATGGGCTGGGACAGGATTTGGAAACTTCCTTTCAAAAGCTCCTTCCTTCAGGTTCCCAGAAGTACCTTGACTACATGCAGCATGGTCACCATCTCCTGATTTTTGTGAAGTCATGGAACCCTGATGCTTTTAGCCTCCCACTTAGGATTTGCAGCTTGCGCTCCAATTTATATCTGAGAGATGTGACCTCTGCTATCAATTTGAGTGCCAGAAGTGCCCTGGAGCTTCTCAGAGAGAAGGCATCTGGAGCCCAAAGAGGTAGATCAAGGTTGCATCCTCAAAGAGTTCCCAACAGATGCATTCAGGAAGAGGAAGATATGAAGGTGGCTGCCTCAGAATTTTTTGAAAATGATAAACTCGTGTATAAGGAGAAGCTCAACTTTACAGAGTCAACACATGTTGAGTTTAAAAGGTTCACCACTAAAAAGGTTGTCCCTCGGATTAAAGAAATGCTGCCTCATTATGTTTCTGCATTTGCCAACACTCAAGGGGGATACTTAATTATTGGGGTTGATGATAAGAGTAAAGAAGTGTTTGGATGTAAGAGAGAAAAAGTGAACCCTGACTTACTACAAAAAGAAATAGAAAACTGCATAGAAAAGTTACCTATATTCCACTTCTGTTGTGAGAAGCCCAAGGTGAATTTCACTACCAAAATCTTGAAGGTGTACCACAAAGATGCCCTGTATGGTTATGTCTGTGTGATTCGAGTAGAACCCTTCTGTTGTGTAGTATTTGCAGAGGCTCCGGATTCCTGGATCATGAGGGACAAGTCTGTCACAAGGCTGAAAGCTGAGCAGTGGGTGGTCATGATGCTGGATATTCAGTCAGGTAAAGAGGGAGGGAAGTTGTGCCGTCTGCAGGAAGGAACTCCCTCTCTGCCTTTTGTGGGTATCCAGCCATATATTTTAGTTAAAAATAGAATTTGTTTTGCTTACAAGTGTGCTTCCATGACAGATTTATTTCTCTAATACCGTTTAGTTCCAAAGACTCAGGATCTGACCTTTTTGAGGTCAAGCAATGCTTGGGTTTCAGTCTGTTTTGGGAAAGTGACAGTATATCATCTCTCTCTCTCTCTCTCTCTCACACACACATGGAGCATTCTCTCTTCTCCTCTCTCTGCCTTTTGTGCCGTCTGCAGGAAGGAACTCCCTCTCTGCCTTTTGTGGGTATCCAGCCATATATTTTAGTTAAAAAATAGGAATTTGTTTTGCTTACAAGTGTGCTTCCATGACAGATTTGTTTTTTGCTTACAAGTGTGCTTCCATGACAGATTTGTTTCTCTAATACCGTTTGTTTCCAAAGACTCAGGATCTGACTTTTTGAGGTCAAGCAATGCTTGGTTTCAGTCTGTTTTGGGAAAGTGCAGTATATCATCTCTCTCTCTCTCTCAACGCTAAACACACACACCAACAACACACACACAACAACACACAACACACACACACCCCAAACTAGGATCCTACCATTTCCGTACCATCCAACCTAGGAAAGAAACTTAAACAACAATCTAGCATAAACACAACCTGTGCCTAACTTGACCTTGGCTAGATCCCTCTCCCCGCACCACAACACTAGCTGCCCTTTCTCTCTAGAGATGCCCTGGAGTGAGAATATTAGAGTTGGAAGGAAACAGGGATTGTCACCTCACTCTTGCACGAGACAGAGGTAAGATGACTGGTGCATATAGAATTGCATTCCCAGAATTCCTTTCTGACAGAGCTGTTTGAGACACAGCTTTTCAGCAGGCACCATGCTGATCATGTTCCACAGGAAGAACCAGTAAGAGTTCTTTTGACTTTTGATGAATTTTGGCTGAAGCCACTTTTTATGTCATTGTTTAGCCCTTCCAGTTTGACCACAGACGCAGTGCTCATTTGTTTTCATCAGCTTCGTCCCTACAAAAAACCCAGCATATCAGAAATAAAAGCCCTGGAATCTAAATCTAAGAAGGCTCTGCAAACAAACGTTTGTTTCCAGGTACGCTCCTTCTCATGTGTGTGTGTGTGTGTTATTCTTTTGTTTATTTGAGACAGGGTCTACTATGCAGCTCAGGCTGGGTTCAGATATTCTTTCTTGATTTCAGCTAGAGGGACTATTTTGTTTTGTAAAATTAAGCTTGGGGTCTTAGGATGTATGTCAGAGGATAGAGCAGTCTGCCATAGCATATATAAGGCCTGGGTTTAATCCTACAGCAACTGCAAAAACAAACAAATAAGCAAAAACCCGATTAAACTTGGGAGGAATTGGTAGCAATTAAGCACAAGTGTAGGACTTAGCAGACTAATGGTCTGAAATGATATGTATTAATTATATTTAATGATTATAATTTTAATGTCTACTATAATATATATATGATTTATAATACAATATAATATAAATATATATGATAATATATTGTATGTTATAATTATATAAATTATATCAATAATTTATTGTGTATAAAATGTACATATAGCGTTTATCCTCCAAATTTTGAGAGATGTTGGGAATTCCTCAGGTCTGTTAAGAGAACTACGCCACACTGGCTTATAATCAGGAGGAGCCTGGGGTCACCTGAAGTCCCGGTAAACGCAGCTTCTCAGCCTCAGGACTATGACGTTTTGAGTCTTTGTTGGTGGGAAAGCGTGCCCTCTGCATTGTAGGATGTTTAGCAGCATCCTGGCTCACACTGCCAGATGCCAGAAGTATCTCTCTAATTGTGCAATCAAATCCTCCAGAATTGTCAGATGTCCCCAGACAGGGTACAAAAATTTCCTCTGAGTTTAAGAATTGCTGTTCTTCTGGCAAGTATGGTAGCTTTATCTGTAATCACAGCTAGGCAAACATTGGTAGAGGCAATGGTAGGCAACATTGGGAGGAATACAAGTAATAAGGAGTGGTCACTGGGAAAAAAGTTGACAAGACTCCATCTCAACAAACAGCAAGCCATGGTAAGAACATATCTGTAAACTCAGCTACATAGGAGGATAGGTAGGAGGATCACAGTTTGAGGCTAACCTCAGACCCTACCTTAAAAACCACTTAAGCAGAAAAGGGCTGGGGGGTTGACTCAAGTAGTAGGGTGCTGCCTAGTAAGCTAAGGCCTGAGTTCAAACTCCGGTACTGCCCGAAAAAATAGAACTGCCATTCTGATGGAGAGGTCTTAGTTTCCTGAAAGCGTCAGGTTCACAGAAAGACTTCAATCAGAAAGAGTGACTTGCCAGCATCCGAGAACCATCTGGGGTTGAGGAAGCATGCTAAGAGGCTGCCTGTGGAAGAGATCTTCTCTGACAACTTTACCTGTGCCAGAACTGCCAGGGTAGTTGCTTCTGGTGTGGAGGAGATGCTTTCTTTCCTTTTTTTTTTTGTGGGACTGGGGTTTGAAACTCAGGACTTTGTGCTTGCAAAGCAGATGCTCGTACTCTAGTCTGTAATACGCTCTTTGCAACAAGGAATCAAGAGACCCTGGCCAGAGTCATCTCTACTTGCTATACTTACCATGTGTTTTTTGTAAGTTTTTGGTAACATCTCTGTTTCCTTAAATTTTCAGTGACACAGACCTCGATACAATTTGAAAACCAGAATCCCTCTGTATGAAGCTATTTCTCAATCATAAAGGACTAGAGGAACTAATAAAGACACAGATATCCTTTTTCTCAGGGGATGACGTGATATTTTCTAGAAGCTGGGCTGGTGATGTTGGTGTAAGGAAAGAGCAGAACGTCCTGTGTGGATGCTCTCCTGGTAGCAGTCAACAGCCCCTGGTTCTCTATACAGTCATAGTAGACCTGTGTTGGACTGGAGGGCTTGAATATGCCAAGATCACTGTCCTTAATTAAAGCAGAAGCTGCAAAATGTCGGTGGCTACACTGGGAAAATGTGTGTCATCAAGGCTGATCCACTTGACCAGCACACAGTGTAGACATGGTGAACTCCCTGTACTACCCCCAATCCTACAGGCTGGCCAGTGGAGAAGAAGTGGAGGACTTTTGGCAGGCCCTTGTGGTGTCTCCTGTGCTCTAGGTCTCTTTCTGGGTGACAGCTGGGATGTGAATTTTTCGACTTGCTTGTATCAGAGCAGTGCGAGTCACTTTCTGAAAGCCTTCAGGAAACCCGAGAATTATTCATTCATTGCTTTCCAGGAACCAGAAAGACAGCCCTCGTCATAAAGACCATGGAGAAAGTAAAGGACTTCTTCCACTGCAAACCAAAAGAGATCCTCTATGTTTGTGAAAGTGACTCCCTAAGGGATTTTGTGATGTGAGAGTTTTACCATCTAAACTTAAAAAAAAAAATAGTCTTTTCAACAGTGCCACAAAAGTAATCTGCGTTTTTCAGTGTAAAATTTTACAATGCCTCTTTGCTGTATAAGTTTGAGAGCCTGAGCCAAATACATATTTCCAAATGACCAGGTAGTTGAGCTATAAATGGATAATTTATAATGTTCAAGCTTGAACATGTTATAAATAAGCCAAGTATGCATAACTTTCAATTTGTAGACCCAGAAACATTTTTTTCCCACAATCTGTGACCTTAAATCCAAGGAAAGTAGAAATGAATCTCTCTTGTTTTAAAGATACTTCTTGCTTGATAGTTAATGTTTTAGAGTCATAATATTGGTCACTTATGACTCAAATTTGATATTTAATACAATTTGGTATTGTTTATAAAGTATTTCATCTGACTTATTTTGCATCAATGATTTTAGAAAACATGCAAGTTCAATTCTGATTGCAATCTCTAGCTTTCAATTTAGCAGAATACACTTGTCATTATACAATTCAGTGAATGAGAAAATTTATTTTGATTTTTGGTTCAGTTTATTTATTCAACACATCTTTTTTTTAATTCATTTATTCATATGTGCATACATTGTTTGGGCCATTTCTTCCCCCCTCCCCCTTACTCCTCCTCACTTCCAGGCAGAATCTGTTCTGCCCTTATCTCTAATTTTGTTGAAGAGAAGACATAAGCAATAATAAGGAAGACAAAGTGTTTTTGCTAGTTGAGATAAAGATAGCTATACAGAGAGATTCCTAGCATTGCTTCCATGTACAAATGTGTTACATCCCAAGTTGATTCATCTCTAACTGACCTTTTCACTAGTTCCTGATCCCCTTCTTATATTGACCTGTGACGCTTTAAGGTTTCTGTATTAGTTCCTCTGCAGTGGGGACATCACTTTCTTGCCTATCCCCATACCTCCCGTTCAACACATCTTTTTGAGTAGCATTTCTGTGTTAAACACTGTGCTCCATTTAGTGTTCGAGGGTAAAACATAGTGAAGACCTTGCCATATTAAAAAACGAACAATGCAAGTATTGTATAGTTAGTATTATAATAAAGATATGCTTATTTTAACTTAGGCTGGAGGTAGGTCAGCAAATACTCCCCAGTGAAGGAGACCCCTGGGCACACTCTTAAGAAACCAGTACAAAGCTGGGCATGATGGAAGATGCCTACAATCCAGGCACTCAAGAGGCTGAGGCAGGAAGATTGAAAATTTGAGGTCAGCTTGGGCTACACAGTGAGACCCTGTTTTAAAAACAAACAAGCAGCAAGAGAAGTAAATAAAAATAAAAATAAAAATATTTTCTATGACAGTAGCAGTGCTAGGGTGATGTGGGAAAGGAGGCAGATCTAGATTATGGAGGATCCTGTAAACTGTGCTAAAGACTATGTTTGTTATTAAGCCTTATGGCTAAGGCTATAAAATATCCCAGTCAGAAGTCCAATCCAATAAATACCTACTGGACCCCTAACATGAGGGGGACAGAGGAATGGCTAAGAATCAGTGCTTTTCTTCAAGAGCCCACACAGTCCCAACTGAAGAGAACAAAAATAGTTATGAATCAAAGCATAGGTACAAATCCCCAGAAGCAGCATATATAAAATCAGGGAGTCTGTAGAAATGTATACTCTTAACTTGTATTCAAATTAAAGGAGAAAAGAAACACCCAAACTTGTTAAGCATATTTGTGTAGCATATGTGCATGCTACAACATACTATAAAGGGAAGTTGATCTAAGTGAGGCATAGTTCTTTAATTTGTTGCTCTACTTGAAGGAACAATTAGAGATCCTCTCTTGGTGTTTTGCTTGCCAAAACCTAAAGAAGCGTCTGCTTTTGTACCATAAAGAAGTGAAGGAATAGAATTTGCTTTAAAGAAAGTTTCAATTAGCACATACCTCTTTTGCATATAAAGATTATGATATGCTCCAGATGACTATTCCTCAGCTCTAAAAAGGACAGAAAGTAAAGAAATGGTAGTAGCAGTGTATATTACTTTTGAGATTTCTTTTAGTTGTAAGGATCTTCAAGGATTGTCAAGCAATAGACATGAGGTAATAAAATCTCTCAGTTTTTTTTATAATAATGAAAGTTTCACATGCAGATTTAACTAGATAATCCCAAGGACTAGGGTATAAAAATTCTTCATTCTCTCTGTCAGGTAACTTGGAAGTAGAGCAGTTTTGTGTTATTGGCACTATGGAAGAATCAGCCTGCAAAGGAGAATTAGCCTCTGATTCCACTCCAAAGTAGTGAATGCTGGTGTTCCCCTTATGAGTCTGAAACCCTGTTCTCTCTTTCATTGTCATAGGCAACAAACCACCTGCCAAGCTGTAACCCGGAAAACCTTCATGCAAGGGGAGTTCCCAAAGATTAAGCACATAGTGATGGATGAAACTGAGAATTTCTGCAGTCAATACGGCGATTGGTACATGAAGGCCTGGAGCATCACCCACCCAAAGGTGAAGGGGACTGGAAGTGAAGACCTTCGCCACAGAATCCTCTGGCTTTTTCTGGATCCTTTCCAAGTCCATCATGCAGATGTCAATGGCCTCCCCCCTCCTTCTGCTCAGTTTCCTCGGAAAACAATCACTGATGGGATCCATTGTGCTCTGGAGATAGCCAAGATCATGAAAGAAGAAATGAAAAGGATCAAAGAAAACCCTCCTTCCCATATGTCTCCAGACACATTGGCATTGTTCCAGGAGGATGCCTATGAGGAAGCAATGTGTGCTCAGGCTCTGCCTGGAACGTATGAGACCAAGACCAACCTGACAGCAGAGCAAATAGCAAAATATGTGGCAGAAAGATGTCACAGCCTGTTCCAATGTGGCTACCTGCCCAGAGATGTAGCAATTCTGTGCAGGAGAGGGGAGGACAGAGGACGCTATAAGCTTGAGCTGCTAAGAGCAATGGAATTAATGAAGACTCATGGAGAGGTTGTGTTCAGCCAGGCTGCTGGTGTTCAGAACACTCACATCATTTTAGACAGTGTTCAGCAGTTTTCAGGCCTGCAGAGGAATATTGTGTTTGGGCTTAATCCAGAATGTACCCAAGCTGAGGAATTTCACAAGCTCTGCTTTGCCTCAAAAGCCATTAAACACCTCTACCTGCTTTATGAAAAGAGGATAGCCTTCTGAACATTGTTATACACAACACAGGAAGCCAGAAGGAGCAGAGTCTCTTTTCCCAGACAAGTGGCAGCTACTCCTTTTTAATATTACAAGTAAGGAAATCAAGGCACATCTTATGGCCTTGGCACATCTCTTGGGACTGATCCTTCACTCTGTTTGCAATGGCAGATGTATAATTGGTCCCCTGTCTCTAGCTTCCCTAGCTCAATGGGGCTTTTATTTTGTCACCCAACGAGGTTATCCTCACATAGAGCTGTGTTTATGAAATCTTCTACTTGCATACCTCCAGTGAGTATCCATAGCCTTCAAACCAAACCAATTTCCAAGTGTTTCTAGGATGTACCCTGACTAACTCTCCTAAACACATCTTTGATTATCTGTCCATATAATCCACCCTAGCCTTACTGGTCCATTTTGTGCATGGTAGAAGGTGCCCTTCAGGCCAATTATCCTGAGTGGGTGTCTAAGAGCAGCACCTTGGTTAGCATCTCATACTAGCTGTGGGTCTTAGGTTTTACAGGTTCAGAATTTGATTTCCTCTTTCCACCAAGTCTACATCAATCTCTTGGGGACAACTTCAGGCCAACTAAACTCACAAAAGGCCAATGCATGAGTGAAAGTGCCACTCTGCTCACTTACAATGAGGATTGTAGGAACAAGGGGGCTAGGGGCTTTTGCTAATCTGTTTATTTGGCAAGAGCATAAGAAGCCAGATGATATGAGCAGAGCCTTGCCATAAAAGGGGGCTAAGGGCCAGTGTGAGCTTAGTGGTCAGCTGTCCTGGGCATGGATTGAACAGAAAACCCTCTGCCTGCCTCCTGCCGCACCAAGTACTTAATGTTTTCTTTCTTTTTTCCCCCTGTATGGCCTTAATCTGATGGATAAAACAATTACCTTAATAAAATAATTAAGATTAAAAAGTGTTGCCTATGTTGAGATGCTTCTAAAACGTTTTATTTTTTACACCCTAAAACTTTTTAAAAGAGGGTAATGTAATATTATCACCTAAGCTTGAGAAATGAAGAAAGGAAAAAATAAAAAATTTTGAATCATCTCATTATCCAGGCATAACATTTTGCTTATTATTGCCTTTTTTTTTCTTTTTTGGCAGAACTGGGATTTGAACTCAGGGCTTCATGCTTGCTAGGCAGGTGATCTACTGCTTGAGCCACTCTTTTTTTTATTATTATTAGCATATTATAGTTGTACAGGGGGATACATTGTGACATTTACATATATGCTTACAATATATCTTAATTAGATTCACCCCCTCCATCTTTTTTTTTTTTTTTTTTTAGAGATACTGGGGCTTGAATTCAGGGCCTAATACTTGCTAGGTAGGCACTCTACCACTTGAGCCAGTCCTGTTTCATGTTGGGCATTTTCAAGATAGGGTCTTGCTAACTATTTGCTTGGGCTGGCTTTGAACTGTGATCCTCCTGATCTCAGCTTCCCAAGTAGCTAGGATTATAGGCGTGACTCACCAGCGCCTGCCCCTCCTCCATTCTTTATATGAAAAAATACATTAACATAGTTATGTATGATGTTATGTAATCAAATTTATATCCTGTTAAGTGTTCTTTTTCAATTTAACTTTTTGAGAGGCATTTTTATACATTGCATCATCGTTCCTAATACTTCATCTCTACCTGTATCTATACCCTTTGTAGTTAGGATTTAGAGGTATTTTCCTACCCCTGTGATGTGGACTTGGCCAATGAAGTGTTAGTAGTTGTGATGTGCACAGAGGCTGCATGTGTGCTTTTTAACAAGTTTGCTCCATGCGTTTCTGCTACTGCCATGAAAAGAACATGCCCATCTGTCACTGAAGAATAAAAGGAGATTTTGAAGCCAATTTGAACTCAATTCATGGCCTAGAGCCATGTTCAACCAACTCCAACGAGACCAGTCAAAATCCAGCTGACCCGAAATTGCAATAATGAAATTTCATTGAAATTGCAATGAATGAAATGAACAATAAATGTTTATTATTTTATGACTGAGCTTTCAAAGTTGCTTGTTTCATAGCAGTAACTGACTAACAAAGGCATTTCTCCTTGTGGTAGCAGGGTCTGCAAAATTATTATTTTAAATGGTTGTACAACATGCTATCCAGATCATGAAATTTTTATAATCACTTTCTCGTCTGTATCACTAGCAATGTTGCACTATTAAAATTAAGCCAGGTATATAGATTTGCAAAGTTTTCTTTTTCTGGTGTAATCATTAATCCCTAGAGATGGGATTACTGATCACAAGGGCAGCCTGGAGGAAAAAAATTGGCCTTATTCCTATTTGTTGGAAGCTCACAGAAAAAGAACAAAATGCTGATACTAACAACTTCTTCTTCTTCTTCTTCTTCCTCTCTTCTTCTTCTTCTTCTTCTTCTTCTTCTTCTTCTCTTCTTCTTCTTCTTCCTCCTCCTCCTCCTCCTCCTCCTCCTCCTCCTCCTCCTCCTCCTCCTTCTTCTTCTTCTTCTTCTTCTTCTTCTTTCTTCTTCTTCTTCTTCTTCTTTCTTCTTCTTCTTTTCTTCTTCCTCCTTCTTTCCAGTTCTGGGGTTTGAACTCAGGGCCTTGCACTTTCAAGGCAGGTGCTCTACCACTTTGTTCTGATTATTTTGGGGATAGGATCTCACGCTTATGCTTGGACAGGCCTGGACTGAGATCCTCCTGTTTATGTTTCCCGCCTAGCTGGGATGAGAGGTGTGTGCCAGCACACCTTATTGGTTGAGATGGAATCTTGATAACTTTTTGCCTGGGCTGGCCTTGAACCTCAATCGTCCAGATCTCTGCATCCTGAGTAGCTAGGATTACAGGCATGAGCCATGGCACCTGGCTGACATCAACTTCCTATGACAAAAAGAAATAGACATTCATATCTCAGAAACTGCTGACTCTGCAAGGGAGCATGGAGAATAAAACCAGGGCTCATCACCCTAACCCAGGGCCTAGGAGGAAAACGTAACTTGGGGAATTACAAATGGGGACATGAATTATGCAACCTTGACATTATATAGGAAAAACCCTTGAAATGGGTTTAGAGTATTGTCTCAGAGAAAAGAAAAGATGCCCCTATCCATGAACAGGAATTGTTTTTTTTTTTAAAGAGAAACTCTGGCATGGAAAACCCTATTTAAGAAGAGAGGAGAGAGTGTGGAGGTAAATTAGATCTTCCATGAAGCTGAGTTGCCAGTTTTCCCAAGGTTTTGGGCAGACTGAAGATAAAATTACTTCAAGAAACTTCAATTTGAAATAAGTACAAAGATTGTAATAACTGTATGCTACTAATTATTGAGATCTTATTATAACCAGCTACCATTTGCTAAATGCTTTGCATACAATCTCACAATTCTATGATGCATATATACACTATCTCCATTTTACAGATGATAAAACTTTTTTTGTTTTGGCAGTCTGAACTCAGGGCCTCACACTTGCTAGGCAGGTGCTCTACCACTTGAGCTACTTCACTACCCCTTTCTTGAGTTGAGTATTTTTCGAGATAGGGTCTCATGAACTATTTGCTGGGCTGGCTTTGAACCGTGATCCTCCTGATCTCTGCTTCCTAAGTAGCTAGGATTACAGGTGTGAACTACCGGTGCCTGGCTCCAGATGATAAAACGTTGTCGTAGAGAATTTTACATGTCAAAATTGTATGTCTGGCAGGTGGTTAAATATAACATTTAAATAGAGTCTTTGATCTGGTAACCTCCACTCTGAGAAATTATAATACTTTGATAATACTGTCTGGAGTGTCTTAGCGTATCCAGAGTAAATAAAAGTACTCATCTTGGCCCGGTGTGGTGGTTCACAGCTGTAATCCAACTACTCAAGAGGCCAGGATAGGAGTATTATGGTTTGAGGCCAGCGGTGCGAAGTTAGTGTGAAACCTATCTGAAAAACAACTAAAAGAGAAAGGACTGGGGTCCTGGCTAAGTAGTAGAGCATTTGCTTGAGGCCCTGAGTTCAATCCCTGGTGGGAGGAGGGTGGGGAGAATACTCATGCTTGCTATCGGGATCCTTTGGCAAGCTCTCATCTCTGGAAAGCATTAACCTCCACTGTAACTGAAAACAGCTGTGCAGTCTATATTTTTTTCCTAGAGTTAGCATCAGTTAGTCCTAATAGAGCCTTCTGACCATTCTGGAAGAATGTAATTTCTTATTTTTCTTCACTTCTCCTTCTCCCCTCCTCTTTCTCCTCCTTTTTCTTCTGCAGTACTGGGGATTGAACCCAAGGCCTCACACACGCTAGACAAGTGCTCTACCACTACAGCCACCCTCCCAGCCCCTCTCCCCTTTTTTCTGAGATAGGGTCTTGATAATTTTCCTCAGGGCTGTCCTGGAACTCACTATGTAGCCTAGGCTGGCCTTGAACTTGAGATTCTCCTGCCTCCATGTCTCATGTAGCTGGGACTTACAGGTGTGCACCAGCCTATCTGGCAAAAAAAATGTTAATTTTTTTATCTGCCAACCTGAGGATCAGACACTGGTCCTATTCATGACCTGGCCAAGGCCAGGTCCTACTGACAGGAACTGCCAGTAGAAGGTGGCTTGTCTAACTGCAAAGTTGGAGGCATTTCCTCGTGATTTAGGGTGTAATATCTCCACCTCGTCCCTTTAAAGTCCCTTAGAAATATATGTGAAGTGTTAGAGTAGATCTTGCTGATTACCAAATGAAGTGAGCATTTAGAGTTCAGTTCTCACTTTTGTTTCTTCTTTTAGTCCTGGTCTAAAAGAGGTGAAAAAAGAAGAATTAAAACACAGCCACTGGCTAGGGGCATGACTCAAGCGGTAGAGTGTCTGCCTAGCAACTGCGAAGCCCTGACTTCAAACTCTAGTACCACCAAAAAAAAGGCACCACGTACTTTCCCTTGTTATTGTTTATTACTTCAGAATGGTCGTGGACATTTGTATTTAAATTTCACCTTTATCCTTGCTTTCATCAGGGAAAGCTGTCTTCTTTGCCTGGGGAGGAGGACAGCAAGGGCAGCAGAGGCTCTTCTTCACAGGCAGATATGACAAATGAAACCCCGCAGCTCCATTCCTGTCTCTTCTGATATATATGATTAGAGATAACATATAGACAGTGCTTTCTAGGTGTTGAACACTGTGCAAATTGTTTTAACATATTGTATCTTTTAACCTCTCAGTCAACCCTTGAATTATATATAATAATCCTATGTAAGTCAGGATAAGGTAGTGTTAAGAGCATAAGCCCTAGGGTCAGATTGACCTTGGCCTTGAATTCCCAACTCTATTCTTACTTGACTGAATAACCTTGAGCAAGTGACTTTATTCCTTTAATTAAAAAATTCATTTTATCATCTGTAAAATTCATACCTATGATTAAAGATTGAAATAAAAAAATCGTTTTTGGTAATACCAGCTCTGAACTCAGGGCTTCATGCCCTACTAGGCAGGCACTCTACCACTCGAGCCACTCTGCCAGTCCTTTTTTGTGTTGGGTGTTTTCAAGATAGCATCAGGTGAACTGTTTGCCGGACTGGCTTCAAACCACAAACTTCCTGATCTCTGCCTCCCCAGTAGCTAGAATTACAGCCATTGACACCTGGCTGAAAAGAATACATTTAAATAAAGCCTGGTATATGGAAAACTGTTGGTAAATTTGGGCTCTTATTAGCTCTAATTTATAGTTGAGAAAGCTGTGACTTAAAGGTAAATACCTTACCCAAGATCACAGAACTAGTAAATTCAGACCCTAGGATCCAAACCCATGTCTACATCAGCCTCTATGGTCTTCTGCCTTCCTGTACATCACAGTGAAAGGCATAAGTCTCCACGTTGACAACATTTTATTCGATTTTATATTGAGTCTAAGATTGGATACACTTTCTATTTGTGACATCCACAAACTTTGTTAATCTTAGATTCTAATTTGTTTTTCTAAAGTCAATACACTTGCTCAAATGACTTAATAACAGGAAATGTTTAGAGAAAAGCAGTTTCTACACCAAGAAAGTTAAAAATATAAGTTACAAGATCTATATATATAATGACATTATAGAAAGACTAAAAGATAGACAACCACAATGAAAATTCATCCTGTTCTTACCACCACCCATGCAGCTGTTTTTCATTTTTGCTGATTCATTTCCAGTGTGGGTCCATCGGCAGATACATTTTTTGCAGAGTTGTGCATCCCATTTTGCATCCTGTTCGGGTGGATGGCTCTGGTGGCCCCTTCCCACTCTGCAGTGTCCCAGTGGCAGGCGGAGCATTTTCCAGGTTGCAGCCCAGGGAGAGGTGATCCTCAGGGTCTTAGAGCAGGGAAGAGCAATTCATAGTGCGGCAGAGCTTCTTGAGTTCCTGCTGGTCCCCTGGTGCAGCCTAACCCATGCCTATCTGAGAGGAAGAGGATGACAGGTCAGCAAAAGACAAAAAAAAGCTCTTCACAAATTCCATAAATCATGGGGGTAAAGCAGGGGACCAACATTTCACAGAGCTCAACAATGGAGTGACACAATTAGTACAGAAGCACTTTCTCCTCCTTTCCCCACAGGTCACTGTGGGAAGCTGGCATGGGTGAAGGGCATGTCCTTCTTGATGAGTGGCAGTGGCCAGGAGGTCTGTACAACAAATCTCTGCTTGCCCAAAGGTATGAAAGGATGACAGATTTTGCAACCCCAAAATGTGCCATCTTGGCATGATTTTGAGCTAAAGGCAGTTGAAGAACAGCATTTTCAATAAGGTCATTCTAATCTTTTTTGTTCCTGAAAACAGGAGAGAAAAACTCCCGTGTAGAAAAATGTCCTCCTAGTCTTTCTGTGAACAGGCCTTAAACCAATTACTTTCTTTTCCCTTTCCCACCCTACCACTGAGCTATGCCTCCATATCCCAAATAACTTTTAATCTTTTTTTTGTCTCCACACATAATTTCATTACATTTCTTCAACTGTGACTCTTTGTTCAACCTACTATATAAGCAGCATCTTGTACCCCTCCTTTTGGCAGTACTGGGATTTGAACACAGGGTGTCACACTTGCTAGGCGAAAGCTCTACCACTTGAGTCTAGCTCCCTAAGCCCTTTGTAGCTTTTAGTTATTTTTCACATAGGGTTTTAGCTTTTTTTTTTTTTTTGCCTGAAATGGGCCTTGGACTGCAAACCTCCTATCTATGCCTCCTGTGTAGCTGTGTGCAGCACCACACTTGGCTTACTTGTTGAGATGGTGCCTAACTTTTTGCCTGTGTTGGCCTCAAACGATATCTTTCTTATCTCTGCCTCCCAAGTAGCTGGGGCTAGAGGTGTGCACCAACTCACTTGGCTAGTTTTTCTACTTCTTTAGTTTTATTTTCTGATGGAGGCTCACAAGTAAAACTCTGTATGCCTAGAGATGGGGAAATAGTTCAGCAGTAGAGTGCTTGCCTAGCATGTGTGTGGTGGCCCTGGGTTGAAGAGAGATGGGAGGGAGAGGGGCAGAGGGAGGGAGAGGGAGAGGGGGAGGAGGAGGGAGAGGGAGAGGGGGTGGAGGAGGGAGAGGGAGAGGGGGAGGAGGAGGGAGAGGGAGAGGGAGAGGGAGAGGGAAAACCCATATGCTTTTCTCTTGTTGAGTCATCAGATGCCAACTTAATTCTCAGGCCCAAATAAAAACTCTAAGAGGGTGGAGGTAAAATTTTGCCTTCCCTACCATTTCTGGCAACCAGACTGGGATCCTAAAAGGTCGGGTTACTCCTTTCACTCTGGATCTTGTGAATGGGATCCTGGGAGAGCCAACAAAAGCCAGAGGGTAAGAATTCTTACCAAAGTCAGCTCTCTCGGATCCCTGTATGCAGTGCCTGGTAAAGAGAAGGTGGAAATCATTCCTTATCCCCTCCTTTCCAAAGTCAGCTTGGCAGGAGAAAAACATTTGTAAAAATTAGTTCTTTGAATTTTGACTCTTACAAATTTGATTCTGGGTATGATCCACTGCCTCCAAGGAATACTCCTTGTTTTCCTTGTCTTTGTCTTTTGTAATGTTTGTCACAAAGAGGAAAAATATGAAATATCAGATTCTTCTTTTTGTCTTGTTTTATGTCCTCAGAGCTTGTCTTTGTGATTAGTGAGAACTTTCTTTCTGGTCTCCACCAGCCAGGGGTGCATGTGTTGATTTTCATGGACTGGCCATCAAACAGGCTGGGAATTCAGACAAAGTGACAGACAGCACTCTCTTTGTAGGCCTGTACCAGCTCTCAAGGGAGTTTTTTTTGTTTTGTTTTTTAATGTGGTACTGGAGTTTGAACTCAGGGCTTCATGCTTGCCAGGCAGGTGCTCTACCATTGAGCCATTCTGCCAGCCCCGAGAGTTAATGAGAAGTTCAGTCCATACAGGGTTCTGTTATCGCAACCTTTGTCTTGATAGTGCTGGGAAACCCCTGTTTTTGTGTTGCCTACCTGGTATCACAGGTTGGTCTGTGATTGGGAGCATCTCATGTTCCCATGGCAGACTGATTTCACAAATGCTTTTCTTACTGCCTGTAACAACCAAGGTCTTTGGTGTTTTTTTAGCTAATTCTGGGAGTGAATTTTCTAGATCTTGGGAGGGTTGTGTCTTTTGTACCCTCTTTGGAGACACCTCTAGCATCCAAGGTTAAGCCATAGAAGGCTTACTGCTTTTACACTATAAAAAAAAAAAAACTTTCTGGTATTGGGTCACAATTAAGATAGATATGTATTTGACGATTTGGACTTTAATGTTTAGAATGATGTGTTATAGAGTTCTCATCTTAAACAAATGTTCTCATATTACCTACAGGAAGATCAGATTGAAAGGAAAATATTAATAAGACAAAAATGAGAATCAACTCTTACCTAAACTGGTAAGTTTTGTGTTTCTGTCTTTATAACTAACTTATGGATAAAATTTAAACGAAAACTCTATGACCTATGTATGTTTATTCCTATATATGTATATAATGTCCACAGACATTGAACCCCCATTGATAGTCTGGTTCAGAATGTCTGGGGAGGGGCCCTAGAATCTGTACTTTTGAAAAGTGTGCCAAAAGATTCCGACAGGCAGCCAAGCTTGGGAATGAATTATCTGGTTCATGATATCTAGAATTTAATTTTCACGAAGGCATAACGCTTTTCCTCATAGCTAAAGAATGATTGTTAAATCCAAGCTGTAATAATTCTCACCACCTCTAAGGATGGACACTCAAAAAACAAAAACAAAAATAAGAAAAACCAAGAAACCAAGCCAAAGCTCAAGGAAATGGTGACTGTGTGGGTCATGGAGATCAAGGTCATAAGTAGCAGAAACTGGCGGAAGGATGCCAACAGTATTAGCAAGCCATGTCAATACAGAGCATCCAGCAGGAATTTCAACTGGGCTCCAGTTGAAAACTGGGTTTTCTGGATTATAGAAGCCACTAGAAAAACTAATGAGAAAGTCAATATAGCACTGTTCAATTTTCTGGCTCTCAGTTTCTTTTTTTCTTGCTTGCTTACTTTTTTTTTTCTCTTCTTTTTCTTTACTGGCAAAAATGCGTATTGACTGCATAATGAAACCCAAACACTGTTTTAAAAGTGGTGGGGAGGAGGGAGGAAGGAATGAGAATATAAAGCAGGGGGTGAACTTGTCCAACGTACATCATACACATACAAAATATTACCAGAATGAAACCCTTCATATTATTAATGTGCACTAATTCAAAAGATAATAAAACTATTAAAAATATGTCTTGAGTGACTCAGGCTTACTGTACAAAGTAAAAAAAAAAAAAAAAAAGATAAACACCTCTCCCTCTTCATCTTCATCTTTTTCTTCCCTATTTCATTCCCCAAAGAATAATAACAGTTTAGGGGATACCCCTTGAAAAATTTTTTGAACATTGTTCTCCAAAGTGTTTAAAGTGTGTTTCTTCTTCTAATAAACAGTTTCTTCAGTCTCAAACCAGAACTAACCAGCCTTTCACCCAGGTATTAAAATGATGAATTCCTATTGATAAACTGGATTTAGCATGTTTTGTCCCTCAAGGTCAGAAAGGCGGGCACAAAGTGAAGAGGAGATTCTGGTTTTGTTTTCTTTGTGTTTTTTTGTTTTTGTGATACTGAGGTTTGAACTCAAGACCTCAGCCTTGCTAGTCAGGTACTCTCCTACTTAAGTCATGTCCTCTCAGCTCTGGTTTTGTTTTCTGAGGAACGGAAAAAGGCGGGATTATTTTAGTTTCATTTTCAGCAAAAAAGAAACGTGTCTGTTCCCAGCTCTGCTTTTCTCCACAGGGCTTTAAATGGCTTTAAAAGCTATTTCCTCCCTTCAAACCATCCTCAGTCCAGCTACTGACTCCTGAGCTGATCCAGGCTTCTGGAGCTTTCTCTTCTCTTCTGAATCCCAATCCTGTGAAGTGTTTTAATTTCCAAGGTACGTCCAGATTGTCTGGAGGGACCCAGCCACGCATGTTCAACGGAAAGCACAGGAGGAAGTAGGGAACAAGAGAGAGTAACGGGGAGGGGGTTGAGGATGATCAAAGTACAGAATATATGTGTATGAAAATGTCAATTGAAACTTATTAACGAACATACAAAATTTTTTAAAAATTGGAAAAAAAGAAAGAAGGAATGGAAGAAAGAAAAACAAAAACCTTAATAGGAAATTTGAAGAAAAAGAACCATCAATAATCATATAAAAATGTGTTTAACCTCACAAATTAAAATAGAAAAAAATGAAAAGAAAAAGGATGGTTTCAAAAAGAGATCACAGAACTCTAAAACAAAATTCCTCTCTGTGGCTCCAGACTTTTCCTGATGTGTCTACTTTAGGAAAGAAAGGCCAAGGTGGGCACATTATATCCACACTTTATTTTAGTTGTGTGAAATAGACAATGAGGACAACCATCTACTAGATGGGACTCACCTTTTAGCAGAGCAGGGGATGCAGGATTCCAATGTGGAGCAAGCTGGCTGAGGTCTCACACCCAGAGAGGTGTAGGGGGCCCTCAGAGAAATGGAGGGAGGAGTCAGAGCCTGGGGTGAAGGTTTACTTGTGATGATTTATCAGTTACCTTATTGGTTGATCTCTATGAAAAGACTTTTCCTGTTTTTCATAATGTATGTACTATTTTGTTTTAGGAGAAACTTAAGCTATCTTGATAAGGGAGCTATGGGCTAGTTGGATTTTTGAGGTTATTTTTATAAGTGTGTCTAAAAGATATTTGGTTTGACTAATTAAAGTGAAAGTGTTTACAGAGTTCCCTATGTCAGGTCCGGTCACTCTCTCTAATACCCTAACTGAAGAGATAAGTAATGAGGGAGGTCATAGAAAGGAGGTTAAAAAGAAAGGTAACATTTCAGCACATCTTCCACATACAGACATTTGCTTTAGGTTTAATTAGAGGAGGAAGAATTGGGGACAGGAGAAAGGTATGCATAATTATCTGGCCAAACCACAGGCATGTTCCTGTGGTCTTAGGCGGCAGCCATAGGTATTCCCATAGCTCATTGTCTCAGGATTAGTCAGGTAGGGGCTTGTTACAGTGATTCATTGCTGGGGCTGGTGGTATGGCTCAAGTGAGAGAGCACCTGCCTAGCGTGCACACACACTCACACACACCATTGCTTCCTGGCAGGTTGTCTATCCTGCAGAGGCCCTGATGTTTCCTGGGGTGGGGGTAGTGTCTGTTGTGAAGATGTTATCTGATCAGTATTGTGGCTCCTGGAACCCAAGGTGATTACAGGAGAGAAAGAGAGAGACTCAGTGAAGGAGATAGAAAATGGAAGCAAGAATGCTAAGCCTTTATCCTGCTCTCAGTAAGAAGTCAGTGCTTTTCAGCAAAAACAGCTTAAGTATTTGTTATGAAAGTATTGGTTAGTGAATCTGCTCAACTTTAACACATGCTTCCTCAAATCCGTTTGGAGATGGGGCACAAATGATTATATAATTATGAATCATTCAGCAGGTGGGTAGTTGGGAAATATTTGCCCCTCTGAAATAGAAAAATAGTTACCTGTAACATTTTTATCTTCCTGAATACAGGCAATATCTACACATATTCTAAATGTTTTCTCTAAATATCAATTGGCACACACATCATTTTAACAACATAACTATGTTTTTATTACTTTAGCTGTAAATGCCAGATGATTTTTTAGACCTTCCCCCTCCTCCCCACCCTCCCCCCAAAAAAACCTATTTCAGTCATTGTGTGCACAAGAAACCATGCAGGCCATAGCCACAGTGCTGAGGTGTGGGGACAGGAAATGAATCAGAGCCATCTACTCCTGATTCCAGGACCTTAACTGGACTTCATCTGAGAGATATAGGATAATACAGGGCTTGAGGACCAGAGAGAGCCAAGTTGTGCCTTTGTGCATTGTGTTTGTTGGAGTCCTCCTCATAACTGTACTTCCCTATCCATTCTTCCTCATGATTCTGCAGTGCAGGGAGGGAGTGGGAGGAGGTGAAAGGCAAGGGCCCAAGGCCAGACATTGTTGTGCATGCCTGTAACCCCAGAATTCAAGAGGCTGAGGCAGGAGGATGGAGAGTTTGAGGCCAGCCTGGGCTACGCATATCAGGACTTGGTTGTTTGTTTTCATCTTATTGATTTGTATACTTTGTATTTCTGCATTCTTCTTTGCATTCTTTGTATTTCTGATACTAATCCTTTCATTTAAAGGTTGCAGATATAGTCTTTCAGCTTGCAATTGCCTTTTAAAAGGCCTTATATTTTAAAATAATTAATAGATTCAGAGGGAGAGAAGGGATTTTTAAGATAGAGTCTCATGAACTATTTGGCTGAGACTGGCTTCGAACTGCCATCCTCCTGAGTAGCTAGGATTACAGGTATTTGCCACCAGCGCCCAGCTCACAGGGAGTTTTGTGTTTTTTTTTAACTGTGCAAACTTGTGACATTTATTAAGCAGAATACATAAAATCCTGATCTGAAAAGAAAAAGCATTACAAAATGAATTTCATTCAAAGTAAACTGCTTTTCCAAAGACTTCATTAAGAAAACAAAATGTGCAAAACTTAACACTGGGAAAATGTATTTGTAACATATACATCTGAAAACATGCATGTGGGGTAACAGAACTTTCATAAATCAATAACCAGAAGACTAATCAGTAATTTATAAAATTAGATGAAGCATTTGAACAGGTGTATCAGATAGAAGATACTAGAATGGTCATAAGTTCAGAAAGAGTCTCATCAATATAACAGACCATGTTTACAACCACTTGTATGGCTAAATTTTTTTGTTATGAAATTTTTTATCAGGATATATTCATTATACAGGAGGATTCATAGTGACAATTCCAATCAGACTTATATTGTACATTATTTACAATTCCCCCATCATCTCTCCCTCTCAGCCCCTTCCCCACCCCACCCAAAGCAATTGCAAGAGGTTTTTTGTTCCGTTTCATATAGGTATATGAAGTCTATCTACTATATACTGTCACCTAAATCTCCTTCCTTCACTCTACCTCCCATAAGTACCTCTTCCCCCCACACACTGTGCCTGTTTTAGAGTTCTGATTTTCGTTAATATTTAAGTTGACATTCAAAGGGGTGTCTCAATGTATGCCCACTGTGGGTGTGCTTTACTTTGGGCTGTTTAATCCCTTTGATTGCTTTCCCTTACTCCTTGACCTCCCACTCCCATTTTTCAACAGCTTTCAATACACATCCTTATATTCTTTTCCTTCACATCTTACGTTATGTGCTGCTCTAGCATTCTTTTTTCCTTTCCCTCTTTCCCCGAGTTCCATAGAGTAATTCCACTGTTACAAACATGTCTACATCTGAGTTAATATGATCATGCTTGTTTTGTGTTTATGTTTATCTTTGGATCTATCTTCCACGTATGAGAGAAAACATGCGGCTTTTGTGTTTCTGATCCTGGCTTACTTCACTTAACATGATGTCCTCCAATTGCATCCATTTACCTTCAAACCCCATGTCATTATTCCTTGTGGCTGAGTAATACTCCATTGTGTATATGTACCACAAGGAGTTTTAAAGATAGAGAGAAGACCCAGGTACATTTCATCTAGTTTTTCCCAAGTTACATCTTACATAACACTGTCAGAACCAGGAAATTGACATTGGTACAATGTATAATTCTATTATATATTTGTTTACTCATCACTGCAATGAAGATAAAAAAACAATCTCATCCACACAAAAGCTCACCGGGGTGGTGGTGCACACCTCTAATGCCAGTACTTGAGGAACTGAAGCTGGGGGATTTAAACCAGCTTGGGCTACACAGTGATACCCTTTTTAAAGTTTTTTTTTTTTTAAAGAGCTTCTTCATGCTACCCCTTTATGGTCATACCTTTCCTCCTCCATCACTCTGAAGGGCAGGGTCTATACCCATGCTTTGATTTGCTATTCCATCTCTATCCCCCAGCACTTAGAAGGAACTCAAATATTTCAAAATAAGTTAATGAATGCATTTTGTATTACTCTGAAGTCTTCTTTATTAACATTAGATTTGTGTTTTAATGTTTTCAGTTGCAGAATGAACACGGAGAAACATAATTTTTCTTTGGTGCTGAAACAATCTTATTCAGACTTGGTCATCAACGTGGGAGAAGTGACTCTTGGTGAAGAAAACAGAAAAATGATGCAGAAACTTCAGAGAGAGCAGGAGAAGGTGAGGATTTTGCAAGCGGCTTGTGCCCTATTAAACTCAGGAGGAGGAGTGATGGAGATGCAAATGACAAATATGGATGAGCATCCTGTGGAGATGGGACTGGACTTGGAACAATCTCTGAGAGAGCTTATTCAGTCATCAGATTTGCAGACTTTCTTTGAGACCAAGCAACAGGGGAGACGTTTTTACATTTTTGTTAAATCTTGGAGCAGTGGTCCTATGTCTGAAGACAGTTCCTCTAAACCTCGCATTTGTAGCCTGAGTTCTTCAATATACCGTAGATCTGGCACCTCTGTGCTTCTCATGGATTCAAGAGGGGCATTTGATTTCCTGAAGATCAAGAAAAAGAATGTAAATATCTTGATGGAAGAACCTTCTAATAATGTTATACGCCAAGACATCAATAACTTGGATCCTGCTAACCTGATTTTCCAAAAGGACCATCTAGAATATGGTGACATCCTTCGTTTTCCTGAGTCTCAGTCTATAGAGTTCAAACAATTCTCTACAAAACGTATCCAGGAATATGTAAAAAGCATAATTCCAGAGTACATCTCTGCATTTGCAAACACTGGGGGAGGCTATCTTTTTATTGGAGTGGATGATAAGAGCAAGAAAGTCCTGGGATGCCCAAAAGACATTGTTGACCCTGACTCTTTGCAAAAAGTGATAAAAGAAGCAATTTCCAAGTTGCCCATTTTCCATTTTTGCTCTTCTAAACCACGGGTGACCTACAGGACCAAAGTTATAGATGTGTTTCTCATGGGAAAGTTGCACAGTTATCTCTGTGTGATCAAAGTGGACCCATTCTGCTGTGTGGTATTCCAAAAAGCTCCCATTTCATGGATGGTGGAGAAGAAGAAAGGCGTCTACAACTTGACACTTGAGAAATGGATAGGCATGATGATGGATGATGACCCAGGTAAGTGGCAGAAAGCTCCTCCTCCCTGTCCTTTTTACCTTTTGGGCACCTGTCTATTGAACAAGTTGCCCTGGGCTTTGGACTGTCTCACTCCCACTAAAAGTGTTTTGACTCTCCAAGTGTTCGAATTTTTATACGTAAGGGTATTTTTTTGGGTGATTAGGAATCTAAATCAGATGTCTGATAAGTGGCATTTTTCCACATTGGAAGCTGAAAAGAAAAATGTCTGGGAATGGTTGACCTTGCAGTGGTATTCCAGAACTGCTGCTTATTGGCTCCACATCCAATTATTAAACTTTCGAGTATTTTCTGAGCAGCATTTAAGGCATTATGAAAGCTTAATTGTATACACTTGCAATTTAAAAAGTATATTAAATAAATGTGATAAATACAAGCTTATTGCTCCCTAATTACTCACTGAATTTTACTCTTATCTCTGCCTGTGTGGCTATTTACATCTGTTGTGTCTATATGGGAGAAATACTCTAAAATGGAATGTTACTGTGCCTTTCATCCCAACTATGCATTTAGTAGTTGGGATGAAATTGGTGGCTTGAAATTGACATGATAGGAATATTTCCACCACAGAAGCTGACTGCAAATAAGGAATCTCTTTCCAACTAGACCTTGATGATTGAACTCTTACTAGCATACTGCCGCTTACTTGGGTTAGTTGTTGGAAATAAAGTACTTTGAATCGAGGATGACTTTTGGGTCTTGATACTTTGGGTCATTGGTAACTTTAAAGCTCAGGAAAATATGAAGTAGCTTGGGATGATCTGGTTTTATCCCAGGGGAAAAATAAACAAACAAAGGAGGCAAAGTTTGTCTTTAGTACTCTTTCACATGCTTCCTGACCTCTTTGTGTTTTGGGCTTTTTTTTTTTTTTTTTTTTTTTGGTGATACTGGGGATTGAATTTAGGGCCTCACACTTGCTAGGCTGGTGGTCTATTATTTGAGCTACTCCACCAATAGTTTTTGTGTTGGGTATTTTCAAGATAAGGTCTCGAGAACTATTTGTCCGGGTTGACTTGGAACATTGATCCTCCTGATTTCTGCATCCTGAGTAGCTAGGATTACTCTTTGTGTTCTTGATGTTTTCCCTTTACCTCTACTGATCACTAGTGCATCATTACATGCTAAGCCAGGAGTCAGAATCTGCTCTGCCACTCTGCTCTTAACAATTTAAAACATTCCTTACTTGGCATACTACTGCTTTCCAAATGTATTTCCAGATTTTCCACATCATGCTAGAATTTGGTGGACTGGATGTCTAAATCTCTCTAGAATGGCTAAGAACATGCCAGGCCTGGAGAGACATAGAAAGAGGCAAATAAAATTCAGGATGCAGTCTTCTGAGTGATGCGGATGGGTATGTGGAAAGGGAATATTATAAAGCTGACTTTCATGTCCAAAACCTGTGGAAAAGTTTAATAATGGAATTCCTAATGTCCTTTAACTTTACACAGTAACTGAACTTTAGGAATAAGCATGGGTGTCTGTATGTCATTCAGCGATGATCCTCTTTCTGATATTTTACTTTATTTTTTGGTGGTACTGGGGTTTGAACCCAGAGCCTCATGCTTGCTAGGCAGGTGGTCTACCAATTGAGCTGCTCCACCAGCTCTGTTCATGATATTTTAAATCAAAGTCTTTTAGCTCCCCACAAGTCACAAGCGTATTCTAAAACACAGAAGGAAGCATTCGTAAATGCAATTACCATGGTCTTGAGAAGTTTACCTCAAAAGAAACAGCTCATTTTAATGACACAGACATCCATTTTCAGAAATAATTTGTCTCCATCTAGGATCTCAGTAAGATGAGGGGTAAATGGCATGACCCAATATGGGAAATAGTAGGTATTTAACAAGCAAATAAATGAGTGTATTGGCTATTGTATTTTATCTAGACTTTTACAATTAGGGACTAGATGAATTCCAACAGTGTGATGATGCTTCTGTTGTATGCTGCAGGGCTATAAAGGTAAGGAAAAGTTTATGTTCCCAAGGGCTTACCATTGATTCATTTGAGAAATATTTATGTTCTAGAAATATCTACACAGATCCAAAGCAGACATAACTCCTGAGCTTGTGAAGTTTACAGTCTATCAAAGAAGATGATAGACATTTAACAAAAACATAAACTAAAAAAAATATGTAATTAGAGCTGGTCACTGGTTCATGCCTGCAATCAGCTCTACTCAGGAGACAGAGATCAGGAGGATCACAGTTCAAGCCTAGCTTGGGCAGAAAGTCTAACCAATAAAAAGTTGGGCATGATGGCGTGCACCTCTCATTCTAGCTGCATGGGAAGCATAAATAGGAAGATTGTGGTCCAGCCCAGGCATATACTCAAGACCCTATCCAAAAACTTACTAAAGCAAAAGAGGGCTGGAGGGGGTGTGGTTCAGTGGCAGAGTGCCTGCCTAACAAGTGCAAAGCTCTGAGTTCAAATCCCAGCACTGCCAAAAAATAACAACTGGAGTTGTTATAGTATCTATTACATAAAAGTACATGGAAATGTGAGAACATTTAACAGAGATGTGTTGGGTTAAGGGAAGGTGGTGAAGGTTAGAGTGAGCAAACACATGCAGAGACATGCTAACTAAAAAAAAAAATAAGAGAAATATGAACAAAATGCTATCCTGAAACAGAGAATGCAGAATGGTATTGAATGGAGAAACAAATCCAAACTTCCAAATAATGGTGAATTTTGGAAAATCTCATATGGCCTAATGGCACTCATGTATACAGGATGAAGGAGAGTTATTGCTGAAGTCACACCTCCTAGAAAGTCATATATTCCACCCACTTGGTAAGGCCTCTTTCAGTCATGAAGAGATGAACTAAAATGTTAGAATAACACGAGTTTTCTTTCTTTATCAAGATCTTCAATGCTTGTGTAAAGACTTTGAATCTCAGCTGAGTCTATCCAGTGGGCCTCCCCTCAACAAACCAGTGTACTCCAAGAAAGGCCTGGAACATAAAAAGGATCTCCAGCAACTCTTATTTTCAGGTAGTAACTATGGACTGACTACTTGACACCAGCTAGTTTCTATGTTATGATAAAGGGAGATACACTCATGTTTGTGTTCTAAAATCCTGAAAGCTCTGCAAATCCATATGTATGAGATGATAATGTGATAAGCCTGTTTGTGATAAGTGGGTTAGAAATAAACCCTCATAGGACTGGGAATGTAGATCAGTGCTAGTGCACTTGTCTAACATGTGCAAGTCCCTTTAGCACCATAAGAGAGAGAGAGAGAATCCAGGAATGTTATTGTCCTTGAAGACTATTTGGTCTTCTGGTTCACAAATCTGACTGATCATCAGTATTTCTGGTTATTTTTTTTAAGTACAAATTTCTGGGTCTCCAGTATTTATTTGTTTGGTTGGTTGGTTTTGAATTTAGGGCCTCACACTTGTTAGGACTCTCTCTACAATTTGAGCCATGCTCCCAGACTCCAGTGTTAAGAAACTAGAATACCTGGGATCATGCCTCAGAATGAACACCTTTACCAAGTTACCCTCATGAGTCCGATGTCCATGTAGACCGGTAACCTTTGAACCAGTCCAATGAGAGCCACATGCTATACAAGGAGCCCAAAAACCTTCCTACTCCTGACAGATGTTCTAGAGCAGTGGTGGTTATGATTAGGAAAAAATAATATAAATCTAGATAAACATTTAAAACAAAATAAAATAAAGATGGATTATGAATGTTTTCTGGTGATTCAGGTTTAGAAGAAACAATCAAAACAGCCTCCATATGATAATTCAGGACCAATACCGAACAGTACCTGTTCTCTACTCTCATCCCTGCTCCTAACACAGGCTTTGACTGGGAGCACATGGCTGGACTCTTTCTAGACTCCTAGAGAGGGAAAACCCCTTGTGTGGTAAGCCAGTTTGGCACTAGAATTTGATTTGTGAATGTCCTATAGATGGGTAAATATCTATCAAGGATAATTCAGTTAGTAGACAATGACTGCCCTAATTAAGATTTCATTTTTCCATAAGCTGAGGCCTTTGCATTTCAATTTTTTATTTTAAAAACTGTGTATAATAAACAGTATAATATTGAAGAGTTAAAAAGAAGCATTGCAAATAATTTTTAAGCTCAGCAAGCTCCATTTTTGAAAAGATTATCATGGAATAAATTATAACTAAAACAAAGTGTTGGGTTGCATGCCCATAGAGCTGCAAACTATTATTCTGGTATAATAAGCCAATTTTCCAGGAATTCTACCAAACATTTGAAGAACAAATATTTCCAACATTATATACATTGTTTTACAGACAAAGAAAAAGAATTAAAATTCCCAAGTTATTTTTAAGTGGAAGTAACAATAATTGCAAAACTTAACAAAGGTATCACAAAAAATGAAAAGTCAGACTAATCTAACTTATGAAAGAGGATGTAAAGAATATTCTAAAAATATAAGGATGAATCAATAGTAAGAGGGTTTTGTAATTTGTTATTTCTATATATTTTTGCAGAAAAAATTACATGAGTGCCTTCTAATAAGGCAAGGCATTTTCCAAGGGCTTTCTAATAAGAAAAGGCATTTGGAAAAACTCAATACACATTTTTGAGTTTTTTAAAGGTTCTCTATAGAGTAGTAAGCCATAGATACTTTTTGAAATTTTATTTTGATGTGGTAGGGTTTGAACTCAGGGATTCATGCTTGTGAGGCAGGCACTTTACCACTTGAATCACACTTCCAGCAATAAGCCATGGATTCTTATTTAGCATTATATTTATACCTATATATTCTCCAAGACCATCATGTTAATTGGTAGATATGGGAGGCATCCCATCAAATTCAGGAATAAAATGATCGTGTGCCCTTTTAATTTATTGTGTTATATTAATTAGCCAATTTACCAATGCAATTAGATAAAATAAGGAGATTAGAGGGATGAAAATTTGTGCTGGGTGGAGCTTAACGTTGATCTTTAAGTGCATGAAGCAATAGTTTTGCCTCAGGAGACATCTCAGGGCCTAACTTAAGCATCTTCCAGTCCAGGACAGCAGGAAATTCCCTGCTAATCAAAAGTTTTACATGACTCCATCATCTCAAAATGATGTTAATATGCACCTTTAACCTGGGTAGGCTCCTTCTATTCCATCAATGTGGACTTTTCAGGTTGATTTTGAGAATCAGGTACTTTGAGAGTATGAAGGCAAGAGAACTAACATTTGTCAAGCAGCCACAGTGAGTAAGGACTTTTTGCTGCTTCATTTATTCCTCCCCTTAGGAGATGTGGTATTCTTAGCTTTCTTTTACAGAGAAGGGATCGAAGACTTAGAAAAATTAAGAAATTTTCCAAGACATTAATAAAATAAGCAATGGGATGAAGTATGCCAGATACTTTAAAGCTTCTTTTCCTTTATAGTATTTTACAAAAGAATATGTTTAAAAATCTTTAATTAACCATCATCATCATCATAATCAACCAATCAATTCATTACGGTTAATTACAATTAATCACCAAAATAAATATAAATTTTTTGTTCCCCAATGTATCATTCTTTACATGTCTAGTGTCACCAGGTCACTTGCGATATATTCCTAAAGCTCTCTGGAAGGAGCTGTGTTCCCAGCATGAAGGACTGGAGGAATTAATAAACCAGCAAATGCTATCTTTCTCCTGGGGAACTCTGATCTTCTCTAGAAGCTGGGCTGTGGACCTGAACTTGCAAGAGAAGCAGGGAGTCATCTGTGATGCTCTGCTGATTGCACAGAACAGCCCCCCTACCCTCTTCACTGTTTTTGAGGGACAGGATGCAGAGGGGCAGGACTACTGCATCCACACCGCCTTTACTTTGAAGCAGAAGCTGGTGAACATGGGTGGCTATACCGGGAAGGTGTGTATCATGACCAAGGTCCTCCACCTGAATCCCCAGAGCAATGCTGAGTTCATGGAGGAGTCAGGCTCTGTGATGGATTACCCCTGGTCCTATCACCTGGCAGACGCCCAGCAGATGGAAGACTTGCTTCAGGCCCTCGTGATTGTCTTGCTTGGCTTCAGATCCTTCCTCAGTGACCAGCTTGGCTGTGAGGTTTTAAATCTTCTCACAGCTCAGCAGTATGAGATATTCTCCAAAAACCTCCGCAAGAACAGAGAATTATTTGTCCATGGCTTGCCAGGCTCAGGGAAGACAGTCATGGCTGTGAAGATCATGGAGAAGATCAGGAATATGTTTCACTGTGACACAAACAGCATTCTCTACATTTGTGAAAACCAGCCTTTGAGGAACTTGATCAAGTAAGTAGTTGGGTCTTATGACTGCATGTGTTCTTTAATGTGGGTTTAATTTTTCCTCCTAAGACATCTTTATTCTTGAGAATTACATGGTAAAATGATCTGTGACAACAATGCTGTGTTCATGCAAGCATCATAGAGTAATTTCTCCCTTCATTTAGTTACAGAAACCCTCAGTGTGTCATTTTAATTTTTCTAGAAATAAGAAGATCTGTCAGGCAGTGACCAGGAAAACCTTCATCGCAGGGGTCTTTGAAGAGATTCAACACATCATCATTGATGAAGCCCAGAATTTCCGCAGTGAAAATACAGACTGGTATGGCAAGGCAAAAGCCATCACTCAAAGAGAAAAGAATTGTCCAGGAATTCTCTGGATCTTTCTGGACTACTTTCAGACCAGTCACTTGGATGATAGTGGCCTTCCTGCTCTCTCAGCACAGTATCCAAGAGAAGAGCTCACCAGAATGGTGCGCAATGCAGATGAAATAGCCAACTACCTAAAAGAAGTAATGCAGGAAGTCAGAAGAAATCCTCCACCCAACATCCCTCCTGGGTCCCTGGAAATGCTGCCTGAAGCTGAATGGGTTCGGGGTGTTCAGGGAACTTTAAAGGTTGAGAAAGACTTGACTCAAGATGAAATAGTGACCTACGTGGCAGGAACCTGCAAATGTCTCTTTCAAATGGGCTATTCATTCAAAGATGTTGCTGTGCTTGTCAGTACCATGGATGAGGTGGAATGTTACAAGTATGACCTCTTAAGAGCAATGAAGAAGATAAGGGCTGTGAATCTCAGTGATGCATCTGGCGTGTTGGGTGATCACCTTGTGTTGGATAGTGTCCGGCGATTCTCAGGTCTAGAAAGGAACATTGTGTTTGGGATCCACCCAAAGACAAACAATCCTTCTATCTTACATAATATTCTAGCCTGTTTAGCTTCCAGGGCTAAACAACAGCTATATATTCTGTGGCATTGTGAGTAGTAGAAAGAACTCCAAACCAAAGGACATGAGATAATTGCTATTGAAATGGCCACGTCTGTTGGGTATTGGTAGAAGCTTTCCTTTTGGTTCTCAGTTCAGAGTGGAAGATTGAATGGTCCTCCCACTCCACTCTGATTAACTCCTTTCAGGGACTTCTCTCCCACCTGTTTCCAAAGACTGTGGTTTCTCCAAGTTCTGTTCTTTCATTCTTCCATCCAAAAAAGGTGGTTTTCTAAGAAAGCTTGAGCTGCCTTGCACAATAACACCAGAGTCTTGCATCCTGGATAAAAGCAAGAAGCTCGACATCTAGCTATTCTTCCAAGTCTGGACTTTTTTTGTTTTTTAGTAACTTCATGCAGTTTTTTTATTTTTTAAAAAACTTGTCCAGTTCTTAGTTACTATCTGAGAAGTTCACTTTGCCATCCTAAGAGCAGAATTTGCTTCCTGAATTCTTGCCATTTGCCTTTACTATATTGATTCAGAACGTAGGAAATTCTTAAAATAATCCAGACACTAACACAGCAGAACAAATAGCTCTGGTATGATTACTTAATCCTTTAAAATTGTAATCTCCAGTGTTTGTTTTCAGAATGGTATAGACCAAGCCTTAATTGTGATCATTGAAATTAATTATCAAGGGTCAGGTGTGGTTCATATCTGTAATCCCTGCTACTTGGATCATGGTCTGAGGCCTTCCTGAGCCAAAGCTTGAGACTGTATCTGAAAAACAAACTAACAAGTTACATTGTACGCACCTTTGGGAGTCTCACAATGAACTCCCCTTGTAGGATTAATGTATGCTACTAAAATAGTAAAAATTAAAACAAACTAAAAAGCAAAAATGACTGAGGGCAAGCAAGAGGCCCTGAGTTCAATCCTCAGTCACACACACACACACACACACACACACACACACACAAATAATTGTTACTGGGGGAAGAAATGACCCAAGCATTGTATTCACATATGAATAATAAAAAAATAAAAATTAAAAAAAAAGAAAAAAACAAAAGCAAATAATTGTCACTTTCCAGAAAAATTATAGGCTAAGAGAAAGCAAACTAAACCTGTATTCTCTGGATTTTAATAGGAGTGCAAAATCTGATTCTAAAGGCATATAAAAGCAAAAATTAAACAGAAATAGGAATGAAAGTCTTTAAAAAGCACCCAGCCATGTGTGGTGGTGCACTCTTATACTCCCAACACTCAGGCAAGAGTATGGAGAGTTGGAGGCCAGCCTAGGCAACATAACAAGTTCAAGCCAGCCTGGGAAATATATATGTATAGTGAGGTCCTGCCTCAAAAAGCAAAAACCAACAACAAGAAAAAATGATGAGTTTTCTAGGGGTGTAGCTTAGTAGTAGGGTGGTTACCTAGCATGCCTAAGGCCCGGGGTTAAACCCCTACCACCCTATCCCCCAAGTCAATGAGCTTTTATTACAACTCTTCAGCCTAGTTCTACTTACTGCTCTATAACATAGCACCTTAAATTTTAAATCACTCTTGAGTTGTAATCCCCCTTCATTTTCATAGTTTGATGGGCCATTGTTATGAACTGAATATGCCATCCTCATCCCCAAATTCATATGTTGAAGCCCTATTCCCCAATGTAGAGTTGGGGGCCACTGAGGAAGTATTTAAGGTTAAATGAGATGATAAGGATGAGACTCTGATCTGATAGGATTAGTGTCTTTGTAAGATAAGATGGCAGAGAGCTTGTTCCCTCTGCCCCTATGTACATAAACAAGAAGTCATGTGAACAAAGTGAATGACAGCCACTTACAAGAGAGGCCTTGATATGATACCTTCCCTATTGGCACCTTGGTCTTCAACTTGCTAGCAACCAAAACTGTGAGAAAGGAATTTCTGTTGTTTAAGCCACTCATTCTGTGGTATTTGTTGTTGTAGCCCAAGACACTAAGACAGCTGCATGATTATTCTTCTAACTAAAAACACTGATACTTTACAATGTTAGGACTGGCAAAGTGGCTCAAGTAGGAAGAGCACCTGCCTAGCAAGCATGAGGCCCTGAGACAAAGCCCAGTGTTTCAAACAAACAAACAAACAAACAAAACAATGTTAATCCAGGACTGGGAGTAACTTAGTGGCAGGGGGCATGCTTACCATGCTTTTTATGCTAATGCAATTATTTATTTGCTTTTCTGTTGATTCAAAATATTCTAAATACTAACAATAAAATATTTGGAAAAGTGATAGAGACTGAAAATATTAGATGGTGAATATTCCACTTATTAGTAATCCCATTCTGCTAATGTCTTCTCATATTCTGAGTTTTGAACTTCTCTTCTTATCATTCTCCTATGTGTTCACTTGCAGAGTTCTAGCTTCTATTCTTGAAATTGTAGTGTCCTCAAACTCCAGCAAAATAGCACAAATCAGCAAAATAAGGATGAAAATGTTCCTTCTTTTTTTGAGTGCATTAAATCAGATATAGCTAAGGTCTATCTTGTATATTCTGACTCAGCCTTACAATCATCCATTTCTCAAGGAGCTCTGGTTCTTTTTACTACAGAATGGTATTACAAACAAGATCTGGACACTGGGTGTTTCATGACTGTTTGTTTAATTTATGAATGCCCACTGTTGTGGCTTTTACCATATGTCATTATCTGGGGTTGTACTGTTCAATATGTCACATATTGACCACATGTAATGTTATGGTTTGGACATGAAAGAGTCCTCCAACAAGGCTCATGTATTGGAGGCTTGGTCCCAAGCTGTGGTATTACTGAGAGGTGATTGAATAAGGAGAGTGCCAACTTCATCAAAGTGTTAATCTATTGATGTGTTCATACAGAATGGGCCAGTTTAGGTGGGGCCTGGTTGGAGGAAGTAGGTCACTGGGAGTGTGTCTTTGAAGGTTATACATTGTCCTGTTGTAGCAGGGGGCAGGACCAGAAGAGAAAGAGACAGGCTGTGTTCTGATAATGTGGCAGGGGGAAGGGATGGCAAAGCAGAGAGATACCTTAAAAAATTAAAACATAAAGAAGGTCACATAGCACTGGGAAAATGAAATAGCCAATGAAGTCACATGCACCCATATGTGGGTTGAGCTTAGCTTTTTGCTTCTGTAACCTGCTTACAAGGGAATAAAATGTAAGACCCCTTTGTTCTCGGGGCTCAGCCTTTGGACAGGAGTCTGCGCCAGCACAATAAAATCTTGCTTCCTGCTAAACTGCCTCAGTGCCCCATATCTCAGCTTGAGAGTGCTGCAACACTGTCCCCTTCCAGTCTTTCTTGCTCTCTGTTTCCTGGCCACCATGAGATGAACAGGCTCTGACACATCCTTCTGCCACCATGATATTCTGCTTCAACTCCAACCCAAAGCAATGGATTTTGCTGACCTTGCACTGAAACTTGTGAAGCCATGAGCCAACATAAATCTTTCCTCCTTCAAGTTGATTTTCTCGACATTTGTCACAGCACTGAAAAGTCTAACACATATGACAACTAATTACTTAGAATGTGACAAGTCCAAATTGAGATAGAATGAAAGTATGACACATTGGACTAAAGATTTGGTATGATGAAAATGAAAATATCACAGTATTGATTTTTATACTGATCACATGTAGAAATCATAATATTTTAGAAATAGTTTAATAAAGCATGTTATTAACAATAACTGGGCCCATTTATTTTACTTTTTTTTTTTGAGACAGAGCCTCTCTTTGTAGCCCAGACTAGCCTTGAACTTGTGATCTTTCTCATTCTGCCTCCTGAGTGCTGGGATTAGAGACTCATGACACCATACTTGGCTATTTTTTTTACCATTTAAAATGTGGCTACTAGAAAAATTTAAATTACATGTGTAGCTTGCATTATATTTCTGTTGAACAGCACCAGTGCATGGATTAATAAAATTAGTTTGTTCAGGGCCACACATGGTGTACATGCCTGTAATCTCAGTTCCTAGCAAAGTGAAGATGGGGAAGATCAAGGTTTGATGCCAGCCTGGGAAAAACAGTTAGGGAGATCCCATCTCAACAAATATACTGGTTGTGGTGGCAAGTGTTGTAATCTAAGATACTTGGGAGCTTAAGATAGAATCCTCCTACTTAGGTAGGACAATCTTGGTCTGAGGCTGGTCCTGGGCAAAAACTCAAAAACTATCAGAAAAATAACTGAAGCAAAAGGGCATAGGATATAGCTCAAGTGGTAGAGTGCCTGCCTAGCAAACATGAGACCCTATATTCAAGCCCCAGTACTACCCACAACTCCCAAATCAGTCTGTTCAAAGTTTATATAGAGCAAAGTTTCTCAACAGAGCATGTGTTTGTGTGTTTGTGTGTGTGCGTGTGTGTGTATGGGAGGGATTTGCCCTTCAAGAGACATGCCCGGAGATATTCCACTACTCCAAAGGGACTGTTTAAGGTGCCTATTGGGAATGTGGAGGATTCAAGATGGCAGTTAGGGCAGGGAATCAGAAATCCTAAGCTCCATGACTCCAGAAACCTTGAGATGACACAGCTACACTTGGGTAATTCTGATTGTTTCTAGCAAAAATAATAACCACCATCACCTTAGATGCACATTAAATTTAAAGAGTGACCCTTAAATCAGCCTTTAATTGCATCTAACAGCTGCAAAAATTCCACACAGCACAGCCAGCAAGGTGTGTCTTGCCCTGGGAAAAAATCCCTCTGTCTGTTTCTGTCACTTATTTTTCTTTTTCTGCCAACAAGCAGAAGACAGAGCATCAGTTAGAATCAAATGCTGCAATATCCTGGACCCCTAACCCGTAGAAAAGGCTCTTTATGTGGTGCCATTTCTCTTCACCAGCCAGTTTCAAAGCTGTTTGTGTGAATCTGCAGAATAAACAGGTGAGCATCACACACCACGCATGATTCCACTATCTATCCCCCAGGAACATAAGCCAGTGCAACCCCTGGGCAAACTGAAATCACCCCCAACAAAACTGAAAAGCATAAATATCAAACTGTAATCTAACATCAACAGTGGAGGTTAGGGTGGAATGCCAAACATGTCTTGGAGAATGCAGGTGGGGAAAGGAGCCAAACTATCAGTGCAGAACTCTCAGTGAATAAGTGTGGGTAAAGCAACAAAG